AAGTTAGGAGGGGCTCTGACTGCAGGAGCTTGAAGGTGCTGCACCCCCTCAGCCCCACCCAGTGCCGGGGACACGCAGGTCTGAGACCTTCCCTGTACGTGCACTTGTCCATCTTGTGCTCTTACAGGAACAAGCCCTGTGCACGAGGAGCCTGAGGGGGCGGGAATGGTCCCTGCCATGGGTGAACCTGCCCAGCAACCATTTGCACTGCGTCTGCTCACCTGTCAGATGGACCAGTTTAAAAACATTATGCTAAGTCCAAGGAGCCAGACACAAAAGACCACACAGTGTGTGAGCCCATCTATGAGGACAGGCATACCTGTGGTTGCTTAGGGCTGGGGGAGGGGGTGACGAGGAGAATAGCTACGGGTATGGGGTTTCCTCTGGGAAAGATGATGTTTTGGAACTGGATAGTGGTGGTGGTTGCACAACATTGCAAATGTACTGAATGCTACTGAATGTCCATTTTAAAATGGTGAATTTTATGTTCCACGGATTTTGCCACCAAGTTTTCCCAGGGGATTCTGTGAACCAACAAGATGGAAGCCCCGGGCTTGGAGACCTGGAGAGGCTCCCTGGGGGTCAGGACCCAGGTGATGCCCCTGCAGGGGCGCTGCGCCCAGAGCTGGCCCTCCTCCAGGCCTGTGACTCCGCCTCTCTCCGGCCGCTGAAACCTCCGTGGAGTGTACTCAGGATGCAGTGAGCAGGAAGAAGGCCAGCAACGCAACCTTGAAGACACTGCCTTATCCTTCCAGGTGCAAGTCCCTCCTTCACCCAGAGCAGGACTCAGGTCAGAGCTCTGGCACCAGCCCCTCTTTACAGGGAGGGGGCAGCAGGACTTGGCAAGGCCCGTGCCCTGGGCCGTGGGGCCGTGTCTCACCTGGGCTCTGCAGAAGAGACCCCTGCTATGGAGTCCCAGGGTGGGGAGCTCAGCGTGCTGGTGTGTCAGTTTCCAGTTGCTCCTGAGACAGGTCTTCACAGATTCGTGGCATAAAACGACACACGGACTCCCCTACAGTTCTAGAGGTGGGAAGTCTAAAAATTCTCCCTGGGCTAAAATCAGGTGCCAGCGGGATGCTCCCTCCGCAGGCTCCAACAGAGATCTGCTCTCCTGCCCTTTCCAGCTTCTGGAGGCTTCCCAAATGCCTTGGCTTGTAAGCCCTTTCTTTATTATCACTCCAACCTCTGCTTTTGTCTTCACTTCACCCTCTCCCCTCTGACCTCTGACCTCTCTCCTCCATTCCTGTTTTAAGGACCACTTGGATCATCCAGGAACTCGCCCCATCTCAGGACCCTTAACTTGCTCTCATTTACCAAGTCCCATTTGCCGTGCCATTCAGCCGAGGACTTCTTCAGGGGCCGTTGTTCAGCTGACCACGCTGGGTTTCCCTGTCCCTTCGCTGTCGCATGTCTCTCGCAGGAGGACTTGGGTCCCTCCTGGTTAACGGCCACAGATCGAGCTGCCTTTTTCAAAGTCCACGGTTCCTGTCATCTGGAAACCTTGAGGCTTTACTCCTTCAGCGTCTGGCTTACTCCCACAGCATTTTATTAAGCTGCCTTCAGTGGGCCAGGCCCAACAGAAAGCTGCAGGGAAAAGGGGGGGCTGCGAGCTCAGGGCCGGGTCAGACAGGGCCCCTGCCTGCTCAGAACTGCGATGCTCCACAGCACAATAGCGTGTCCCGGGAGCTTCACAGGAACTCGAAGCCCACCTGCCCAACCAACTTCACCTGCAGCCCTGATGGTGGGTCTGGCATTGGCAGTTGAAGAGCTCCTTGGGCATTCTGGTGTGGCCAGGGGTCAGAACGCTGTTCTCGAAGCTCAGAATCAGGCAGAGGGAAAACACATAAGTGTCAGAAATGGAATGTGATGTGTCCTTGCTTCAACAATAGCTAATAGGCATGCCTACTTCCGGGTCATGAGCGTTCTCACTGAAGCCTCCCACAGCTTTGCAGGGTAGCAGTGTTATCACCCCATTTCACAGGTGACCAGCGAGACCCCGGTCACAGTCAGGGAGTGACGAGGTCACCCTTCAGCCTCAGGCACTCTGGCTCCTGAGACCTGTCTCCACGCTTGGGAAACAAGCTGAGGTCACTTTCTCCTGGAACTTTCTACCTGTCTCCGACCCATCGTACTCTGAGGAGTAGGAAAGGAGGGACAGAGGGAACAACCCTTGATGACAGTTGCTCCCCTGGTGGGGTGACACAGCAGAAGGAAGATGGCTCCTGAGTGTGGGCAGGCGCTGGGCTAGGCCACCACCTGCCTCATCCTCCAGGGCACCCGTGTGCCATCTCACTGCCTTCCTGTGCACGGGAACGCCTGCCGCCCACACAGATGGGCCCCGCAGGGCGCTTCTCTGCTGCTATGAAAAGGTCACCCAGCCCTGGGATGCTGGCAGAGAGAGCATATCAAAGCCCCTCAGAATTAAGAGGTTTTCCCATTGAGTGGAATTTCACAGCCCAGTGGCCAATTTCTTAATCATGCACATTAATGGGCAGCTAATGAGGGACCCAGGCAGGGACAGGGAGGGGAGGCAGCTGAGATTAAGGAGTACGAAGCCACAGCTGCTGCTGCTCTCCCTGCTTTGGGGTCAGCTTTGGGAGAGAAGGTAGAAGGTGGGTCTGCCTGGGAAGGCCTGGGAGAGCCTGTACCAGCCTTGCTGCTGCAGACCTCCACCTGCTGCCACAGCCTCTCCCTCCCCACCATGCCCACGCCCGCCTCAGGCCCTGGTGCAGTAAGAAAGCCCTTTCCCAGGTGCTTTAACCTGGGTCTCCACCCAAGGAACCCGACCCCAGAACACCTCGGCCTTCCTGGGAGCATCGGTTCGTTCCCGGGGCTGAGCCTTCCAACAGGCACTCGCTACTCCCCCCCTCAGAGTCTTCCCTCCTGGCACCTCCTCTAAGAAGCTCCTCCCAATTTCCCTTCCTCCTGGAGTCTCATGGTCCACTCCCCACTCCGCTCCTCTGAATCCCCGGGGCCGGGCATGCAGTAGGTGCTCAATCAATTAATCAATCCGTGTTTGTCACATTACTGTCTGACTGACTGGTTGAGAGCACAGTCAGACCCCAGGACTGTGGGTATGGTGTGCTGAATGGTGACCCTAAAAGACATGTTCATGCCCCAGAGCCTGTGAATGTGATCTTATTTATTTTTAAGATATTTGTATTGATTTCAGAGAGGAAGGGAGAGGGGGGAGAGAGAAATGGAAATATCAATGATGAGAGAAAATCCTCACGCCTCCTGCACGCCCCCTCCTGGGGATCGAGCCCGCAACCCAGGCATGTGCCCTTAAACAGAATCTAACCCAGGACCCTTCAGTCCGAAGGCTCTATCCACTGAGACAAACCTGCTAGGGCTGAATGTGATCTTATTTAGAAAAAGGGTCTTTGCAGGTGTAGTTAAGGATGTGGAGATGAGATCATCCTGGACTATCTGAGGGAGCCTAAATCCAATCACCACAGTCCTTATAAGAAAAAGAAAGTGTACAGACACGGGAAGAAGGCCACTTGAAGACAGAAGCAGAGGTTTGAGTGATGTGGCCATGAGCTAAGAAGCCCGTGGAGCCCCCAGAAGCTGGCAGAGACAGGAAGATCCCTCCCCTAGAGCCTTTGGAGGGAGCGTGTCCCTGCTGACACCTGGACTTCAGACTTCTCGCCCCCAGACCAGTGAGAATAATGTGTGACAGCCGACTCAGGAGAGTAACATGTCTGGGAAAGTATGTGATGTTCCTTTTTGTCTTTTCTGGAGGCTGTGTACTCATCCCGCCATCTCTTCATTCACTCACTCACTCACTCTTTCAGCCCTTCCTGTGCAGGGCGCTGTCAGGGTCAGGGCATGGTATGGGAGACAACATGGCATTGCAGGCTGGGATGACACCCACTCAGGGCTAAAACCCTGCCCTGTCACTTGCCAGTGAAGACCTTTTCTTTCATTAATTTTTTACTTTGATTTTAGAGAGGAAGGAAGAGAGAGAGAAACATCAATCGGTTGCCTCCCATATGCACTCTGACCAGGGATTGAACCCACAATCTTTTGTTGTACAGACAATGCTCCAACCAACCAAGCCACCACTGGCTTTCCCTGCCTGAGCCCAGTTCCTGCTCTGTGAGCGATGGCAGCGCCCCCTTGGGATTGGGTGAGCGCTGGGTCACAGTGAGCACTGCTCCCCTGGAGGCAGTGTAAACACTGCTGGAGACAGGGCCCAGCTCTGAGCCCCTCGGCCATAATCCTGCTCCCTTCTCACTGGTGCATGCTGGGAGGCCGGCCGCACTGCAGGTCAAGTGTTTATTGACCACCTGTTGTGCGGAGCCTGTAAAGGTATAAAGAGAGTGGGCCCCAAGGAAGTGACACAGTTAGAAACTTCATGGAGAAAAAGTGTGGGGCGGATCTGGTGTCCCGCAGATAAGGGCTGATTGGCTGAGGCTCTGGGCATTGAAGATGTTTTTTAACATGAGGCAGCGGTTCTCAAAGTGGGGTCCCCAGCCCAGCAGCATCAACACCATCTGGGAGCTGGTTAGCAAAGGCAATTCTCAGACCCACTGAATCAGAAACGCTAGGGATGGGACCCCACAATCTGTGTTTAACACACCCTCACCCAGGGTTTTGAGCCTTGGGTACCGGGGATAAACACTCACATCTGAATTCAAGATCTGACTCTCCTAGGCCTGCATTTTCTGGAACAGGACCATTTTTTATACTCTGCCAGCTTAGTTGACAATGTGTGGGGTCAGATTGGTGGTCTCTACTCAAAGGGTGGCCCGGGGACCAGCAGCACCTGCCTCCCGGAGCTTGTGAGAAATGTGATTCTCAACTCCTCTCAAGATGGGATGAATAGGAATCTTCGTTTTAACAGGAACCCCAGGTGATTCTGTGCACGGTCAATGGAGATCTTCTCCACGGTGTACCTGCTGCCCACCTGGGCCTCTGCCTGCCTCCAGCTTCCTGCACCCCCTGTGAGGCAGGCACACAGACCCCCTGTGCAGATGGGCGTGGGGAGATCATTGCTAACAGGTGACAATGCTGCGCTCCGAGCTCTTTCCTGCCCCCTCATACTGGGGGTCTCAGGCATGGAGGGAGGAGGCACTGGAGAAACTGACCCCTGACCCGGATCACTGCGTGAGGTCACGTGTGCCCCTTCCTTGATCTCTCCCAGCTGAGCTCCCTCTCCCACTCTGCAAATGGGTAAAGCCACGCCTACAGGGAGGAGGGGAGGGAGTCTTCAGACTTCCTCAGGCCAGAAGTCTCAGAAGCTGCAAGTTCTTGGGACAGATGGCCCTGACTTCAAGTCTCTGCTCCCCTAGGTTTTGGGACATGACCCAAACACATGCTCTTTAGGGCTCCCTTAGTTCACGACTCACTCATGACCCACCCTTGCAGAGCTGGACTCTTCCTTCTTCCACCTGTCTGGGCCCAAGAAATGCAGCGGAACCACCTGGAGTGAGCCTGAGTTCCTGTCCGTCCGTGTCCGTCGGAGTCCAAGGTGGCCAAAGACTGTCTCTCACCTTGAAGTTTGCACTTGGTGGTAAGGACTAAGGGCTGTCGGAGAGGTGGGGATATGGGGGAGGGAGCCGAGGGCTGTGATGGGGTCCTTCGTTTTAGTTTGAGAGCAGAAGTGAGGATAAGCTGGTAGAAAGCTAGAGGGGGAGGGGCGGAAAGCAGCGAGGAAGAGAAGTGATGGGCCAGTGAGTGAGCAAGGAAAAGGGGCAGCAGAGGTGCAGGAAGAGGGAGATGTGGTAGCTGGGACAACTGGGGAGAGACCTTTGGTAGCCAGAGAGTGATACCGGCTATGAACGGGGAAGGAAGTGCGAAGACTGTCTCCTCTCCACCCTTCTGCTGCTTCTAGCCATGGAGGGACAGACCCCTGGAAGCAGAGGCCTTTTGGAAAAGCCTGGGACCGCCAGCCCCGGTCTGTCCTCACTGAGCGCTGCCTTCATCCTCCTGAAATCTGCGCTGGGGGCCGGCCTGCTCAACTTCCCCTGGGCCTTCTACAAGGCCGGTGGGGTGGCCCCCGCCTTCCTGGTAGAGCTGGTAAGCCCCTGGGAAGTGATTGGGGGGGTCTCCCGGGCAGGATCCAGGCGGCATCCTCAGTAGCAGGTCTGCAGAGCTGCCTGTCTTAGAGACTATGTACATCTGTGGGGTTTGGTTTTCTGCCCGCTGAGCTCATGAGGGGAGAAGATAACTGTACCTGGGCACACAACAGCCTCTACCCGCCCAGGCTGCTGCCAGGCACAACACCTGGATCCAATGAACCTGACATCTCCGCTGGGAAAGCGCGGAGAACACTCAGTCTCTGAGCAATCGCCTGGCCAGTTGACCTCACTTGCCCGCTGGTCTCAGGTCCATGTTCAGATCAGGTCAGGACCAGGACTGGCTGGGACACCCCCACGCGAGCTGGGCCAGGCCCTCTGCCATGTCAGAGGCCGGCAGCCACTTCCAGGGCCTGCCTTCCAGCTGAGCTCCCTTTCCAGGCGGTCAGGGCTGAGCGGCTGTAGCAGAGAAGCACTGATTAGCACAGCTTTCTTTTGTTTGCAGTGATTCTCTGGCTGCCAGGAGCCGTGTTCCGTGGTAAGCCCTTTGACAGGCAGCCCACATGCTTTTCCATGGCAGCCAGCTGATAATGGTCCTGTTCTTAATGGTCTGGTGCTGGGGTTCTTGTCCCAGCATCAAGAAGGGTTCAGGAATCTAGAGAAGGCTGTGCATAGATGTTAAATAGGAATCCAGAGACTAATAAAGAGTCCGGAGACGAGATATAATTTAGAAAGGCATTTGGGGGTCAGAGGAGCTTAGCTAAAGGAGCTAAGTTCCAAGATCTTAAGTCTAAGGCCTTAGGTTCTCCTCGTCCCCAGGACCCCATGCTTTTTATTAACACAACTTGTCCTGAGGCGAGGCAGAGATATACACTGCAAAGGGTATACAGAAACATTGTCAGAATGAGGGAATTAGCCTATCGGCTGTTCAGGTGTTTGGCCAGTAGGAGGCAATAACATGTAGATTAAGATGCCCTTTAATTGTCTGGCAGCCACAATCAGTTTCCTATTCAGGTTTGGGGAAATGCCTTCAGCCATTCCCAACAGGTGACTACATGTGTGACTCAACCCTGTTGAGTCCCCAAGTCTCATCAACCTTTTGATGAAACTCTTGAAATTATGACATGCTGGACTTGGTCTCCGGCAGTCCCGTTCTGTGTGTAGGCCACAGGGTTGGATACAAGATACTTGAAATATCAAATAAGATATTTCAGATGGTGGGTAGTGTTAGGAGGGTCACATGACAGAGGGTGGGGCAACATAACAGGTGGTCGGAGGACTCTGAGGGGGTGACGTTGCCCTGTGCCCCAGTAGAAATGGAAGGACTTGTCCAGGTGCATGAGAGGTGCAACATAGCTGTGTTTGGATGGGTGCAACAGGAAGGCTGCCCTTTCAGCTCTTGACCGATTCTTGGTCAAGGGCAGGTACCTGGATTGCAGGTTCTATCCCCAGCCTGGTTGGGGCTGGTGCATGAAGTAACCAATCAATGTTTCTCTCTCTCTCTTTCTCTCTCTCTCTCTCTCTCTCTCTCTCTCTCTCTCTCTCTCACTCTCACTCTCACTCTCACTCTCACTCTCCTCACCCCCTATCCTTCCCTCCCTCCCCTTCCACTCTCCCTAAAAAACAACAATGGAAAACAATATCCTAGGGTGAGGATTAATAAAACAAAACAAAAGGCTGCCCTTTCAGACAATGAGGAGTTAATGCAGGGGGTGTGGTTGGGCACAGAAGTGTCCAGTCTCAGGGTGGCAGGCAGGGCTGGGAAGCAGAGCTGTGGCCCCCACTCCTCACACCCCTGCAGCACTCCTGGGCACCTTGCTGAAATGCAGATGCTGACTCAGCAGGGCTGGGCAGGTCTGAGGCTGTGCATCCTGATGAGCTCCTGGTGATGTGGAGGCTGCTAGTGTGGCTTGCACATTGTACAGTGTGGTCTAAAGACATGAATGAATTGAAACCCTGGACAAGCGAAGGAATCAGACTGGTAATGGGCCCACTGCCCCTCCCCGCCTCTCCCCTCCTCTTGGGAGACTTCTGCTCTGACCCCGTTGCAAGGGGCCAACTTGGACTTCAGGCGCATTTAAATATTCCCACCACCAGGAGGTCAGTGGTGCAAGGTGGTAGGTCTCTCATGACCCGTTAGCATTGGAGGATTACTAAGATTGAATGAACCTGACCCTCAGTCAGAAGTTGCAGAGGCGGAGCCTGGGCATGAGCAATAAGGGCTCTTTGCTGTCTGTCAGGGTCCCTCTCGCGAATGCCTCACTGGCAGAGGATCCCTTAGTCCCACCCCCTTCCCTTCATCCTCAAGTACCTATCTACTGAGTGCCTACTATGTGTCAGGCACCTCTCTGGGGACTAAATGGTGAGCAGAAAATGCCACAACCCAGTGTTCACAGAGCTGAGAGGCTCTGGGTGAGAGATGTTGGAGACCCTGTAGTATATGTTGTAAGCATATGTCTAGTAGCCCAAGGACCGAAAACTGAGTGGCTTCAAACATCAGAAATGTATCCTCTCACAGTCCTGGATGCAGAAGAGTGAAAGCAGTCTGGCAGCAGGGCCCTGCTCCCTCCTTCCTGCCTCTTCCAGCTCCTGGTGGCCCCAGGCATCCCTTGGGTTGTGGGCACATCACCCCAGCCTCTGTTCCATCATCACAGAGCCTCCTTTTTATGTCTTCTGTTCTGTCTCGTCTAAGGCACTTGTCATTGGATTTCAGGGTCACCCAGATGGTCCAGGATGACCCATCTCAAGGTCCTTAATTACTCCTGCAAAGATCCCTTTTTATTTAATTACATCTGAAGAGACTGCCCAGTAAGTCACCTGCACCGGTGGTGGAGGTGAGGCTGTGGACTTGTCTTTTGGGGACCACCATTCTGCCCACGGCAGGCAGTGTACCCAAGAAGGCAGAGTTCTATCAGAGCCTGAGATGAGGGGCTGAGTGCACCTGAGGGTGAAGTGTCAGGAGGGCTTTCTGGAGGAAATGGCCTTGGAGAGGAGGGGGAAGATTAGGCGTTCGCCAGGTGAGGGGAAGTGGTGGAACTGGCATGGGCAAAGGTTCAGGGACCGAAGGGAGCCATGTGTTCCTCCCAACTCGGAAGTTCCAAGTTCCTCTCCCACAGTCCAATTAGATGTTCCTCCTCTGCAGCTGTGTTGTGGCGTCTGGAGTCACAGAATGAATCTGCTGGTCAGGGCCGTGCCCTGTCTGAGCATGTCCCAGCTCAGCATTCTTCCCCAGAACCCGGGGCAGGGGTGTGGAGGCCTGGAGACCAAGTTCAGTTTGGGGCAGGTAGCCACCGGTCTTGCAGAAGCTCAAAACCATTTAGCTCCATGCAGCAAGTGGGGCTCCCATGCACCGATGGGGGTGTCCAGTGGCACAGGCACTTGGGAAAGCAGTTTGGCAATTTCTTAGTTAAAAACGGGTCTAATCTATGACCCAGCAATTCTCCTGAGGGCATGTCCAGGAAGACAAAACACAGGTCCTCACAAGGACTTGTTCCGGGTGCTCAGCGCTTTATTCACAGTAGCCAGAAACTAAGAACCACCAGGTGCCTGTCAGCAGCAGGCTGGAAGAAGCAACTGTGACTGCATCCATACATGGGGTGGCACTCAGCAAAAATAGGAGTAACACGTGATCACCAGTGTGGCTGGATCTCACAAGCACGACACTGAGGAAGAAGCCAGATGCCAAAATATGTAAAAGTAGAAAAATATTAGACCAGTGGTTTCTGGGGACAGGATTGGGGCATAAAGTGACTGGGATGGGACAGGAGGGCACGTCAGGGTGGTAGAATGTTCTGTGTCTTGACAGAGGTGCATTTGTTGTGCCTCTTCAGGGGATAACCCTTGTATACATGTAGCCCGTGCAGTTTTAGCACCATCTGCGTTTCTGATACCTCATCTGTCCATCTGGGCAGAGTAGTATGAATCCCAGACTGACCACCAGCAAGGCCTCAACAGTCCACCTACCCTGCAGCTCTAGTTTCAGCACAGGGGAGGGGCCCCAGGCCATAGGCAGTGTGACTTCTACAGGCGAGAGGCCCAGTGGAGGGAGCCATATCCAAGTCCCCAGGGGCAGCTGGCTGGGTGGTGGCCTTTGGGAGCACCCTGGCCCACAGTCCTGCTCTGCAGGTCTCCTTGGTCTTCCTGATCAGTGGGCTGGTCATCCTGGGCTATGCCGCCTCCGTCAGTGGCCAGACCACCTACCAGGGCGTGGTTCGAGGGCTGTGCGGACCTGCCGTCGGGAAGCTGTGTGAGGCCTGCTTCATCGTCAACCTGCTCATGATCTCCGTGGCCTTCCTCAGGGTGATCGGGGACCAGCTGGAGAAGCGTAAGTACTTGCACTGGAGGTGGGGTGGCCTCAGGGTTCGGTGCTCCTTATGCCCCCTGGGGCTCCTGGTTTGGAACAGGACGTGGACACTGAGCGGGACCCTGGGGGACAGCAGAAACCAAGACCACCCCTGAGCTCCTAACGTCCTGGAGACGGGAGACTTGGAATTAGTAATTACCAGCACAGGGAGAGTCCTGGGGGGTGGCGGGGGGGGGGGGGGGGGGCGGTCAGGGACAGGCTGTGGCTGGCTGTCTAGTGGGGTCCACTGCAGAGAAGCCCTGTGGGAGGGAACCAATCACACCTTGAGTTTTGGGACGTTGGAGACTAAACCCCATGCACCTGGGCCTCTAGTTCCCCACTAACGATTTCCCTCTGAGCACGGCTTTAGTAGCATCCCCATCAATTTAGATATCTATTTTGATTTTTGTCCCATTCAAAACATTTGTTAAATTTTGCTGTGATTTCTTTGACTCACAGGGTGTTTCACGTTGTGTGGTTTGATTTCTAATTATTCGGGACTTTTTTTAGATCCCTTTTTTGGGTTCTATCTTAATTGCATTGTGGTCAGACAACACACTTGGTGATTTCCGCTTTTTTGGTCTTTGAGACTGCCCTGTGGCCCCCACATGTTCTGTGTTGGTGGGCATTTTGCGTGGGGTGCAGTGTTCTGGAACTCTCCATCCGGTCAAGGTTCTCCACAGCTTTGAGCAGGTCCCCATGCCCTTGCTGACGTTTTGGGTCTAGTTATTCTATTCGCCTGAGTGAGGGTGTTAAGCCTGCAATCACAGTTGAAGATTTTATGTTTCTCACTTTTAACTGTCCAGTCCTGGAAGCTCCGTCATAGGCACCCACCCACCAACTACCCTTTTATTGTCATGAAATACCTGCTTTTGTCTCTGGTGATACTTGGTCGCTAAATCACCCTCCTCTACTGTAAATGTGGGCGCTCCAGCTGCCTTCAGATTAGTGGTTCTGCAGTGTTTCTCTTCCCGTTCATTCTCTGTGAACCAGACTGACATGGGCTTCCCAGTGCATTTCTCGTAGGTAGCATATGGTCGGGTCGTGGTTTTTTTAAAAATCATCTTGACGATCACAGACAGACTTCTAATTGGAATGTAATTATTGATATGGTTAGATTTCGCTCCGACATTTTGATGTTTCTTTGGTTTGCTCTCTCCGTCACTTTAACCGTGAATAAAAAGGCCCCTGGCTCTGGGGTGCTGCGATTAGAGGCTTCTGTGTTTGGGGCAGCATTGAGGTTGGTAGATCTGAGCCTACGGTGGGTAAATGAGTACAAAACGCCCTGCTTGCAAGTGGCAAGTCGAGGCCACGTCAGCTTCACCTCGGGTCACCGGGTGTGCTGCCGTGTGAGGAGGATCCTGAAGCTGCGTGCAGGCTCAGCTGTAGAGCCCAGAGTGATCAGAGTTGATTAGATACAGGCCACCTGGTTCTGGGGGTGTTGACTGGGGAGGAGAGAGCATTGTGTGTGTGTTTCTGGTTAGGTACTTGCGGGGGGGGTGGTCGGGGGGGTCTTTCTGGGGCAAGTCCAGGCTTCTCCGCAGGAGGACTACCTAAAGCAGTGATGGCGACACATGTGTCAGAGGTGACACACGAACTCATTTTTTGGTTGATTTTTCTTTGTTAAATGGCATTTAAATATATAAAATAAATATCAAAAATATAAGTCTTTGTTTTACTATGGTTGCAAATATCAAAAAATTTCTCTATGTGACACGGCACCAGAGTTAAGTTAGGGTTTTTCAAAATGCTGACATGCCGAGCTCAAAAGGTTCACCATCACTGGACGAGGGGGTCCATGTGGAGAGGCCCCAAAACTGCAGGGAAGGCCCAGCTGAGCCACGGTGCCCCCACCAGGCACCTGATGTGGGGAGAGCCATCGAGAACCCTCCAGACCAGCCCTCCCACCAGCCAAATACCCTCAAGTGACCCCCGTGGGTTCCACATGAGCAGAAGTAGCCCGCTCAGCCCTATCTCATTCTTCACATCCTGCTCATGGCAGATAATCAAGTGGACGCGCCAGGCCATGTTGGGGTAGTTCGTTGTGCAGTGGTGACAGAGAACATGGCTTTGCCCAGGACCAAAAAGCCACCCTGGCCCCTGCTAGACCCACACCCCCCCTGAGCTCCCAAGCAGAAACAGAAGGATCTGGTACAACAGTGGTTCTCAACCTTCTGGCCCTTTAAATACAGTTCCTCATGTTGTGACCCAACCATAAAATTATTTTCATTGCTACTTCATAACTATAATGATGCTACTGTTATGAATCATAATATAAATATCTAAATATAAATATCTGATATTAGGCAACCCCTGTGAAAGGGTCGTTCGACCACCAAAGGGGTCGCAACCCACAGGTTGAGAAACGCTGTGTTACAAGAACATAAGGGCCCAGGTGCCTCAGGGTAGGTCCTTTGTCTCACTTGTGGCTGGATTCCAGCACGGGGAGCAGTGCCTGGCTGGGAGGAGCCCAGTGAGCGTCTGTCGAATGAGTTTCTGCAGCCAGATCCTTCCTTCGTGGTGGCACATGATGGGGTCCCCATCACGCTTGTCCCATCCCTTTAGACTCACAGGGCTGACAGTGTCCATGGCAACCCCGGGCAGGAGATCGGGAGCCCGGGGCAGGACTCTGACTGCTGGGTGAGAGCCACAGTCTCACTGCGGCCCCCCTTCCTCCGCCTTCCCACCAGTGTGCGACTTCCTCCTGCCCGCCCTGCAGCCCTGGTACGCCGACCAGCGCTTCACCTTGACCCTGCTCTCCATGCTGGTCATCCTGCCCCTGTCCGCCCCGAGGGAGATCAGGTTTCAGAAAGTCACGAGGTACGGGGCTGCAGGCTTCCTGGCAGGGCAGCGGCTTTGACTAGGTCCCCACTGCCCTGGGTTGGTATTGGGGGTGGGTGGGAGGGGGGCTCCGTCCGCCTCTGCTAGGGGAGCTGTTAGCGTTGGCCTTCCCATTTGGAGAAGGGGGAAAACATTAAAAATCACACAAGTAACGTGTGTGATAGGAAATAGAAGCAAAAGAGAAAACTACCATAATGCATAACCTGCTGCTGCTGTTTTCTTTAACTATTACAGACTTCATATGCCCACACGTGCGCACTCACAGGCACAGAGGCAGACATACACGTACTGTTTTTCATACTGTGGTCTGTGGCTTTACATATATTTTTGAAGAAAAAAAAAAAGTCTGGAAAAAGTATTCATGCAAATTTGCCACTTGTGTTTCCCTGTTGTGTTCAGAGCAGCAATGGACGTCTTACCTTGGAAATGGAGAAACAGGGGATAGGGGACTAGAGCCCCTAGGTGCCCCCAGCCCTCCAGTCTCTCATCCCGCCCCACTGAGTCAGGGGTCCTCCTCCCCACAGCCGGTGTCCTGGCTTAGCTGCCACATCCGAGGCTGAGTGGCCGTTGGAGAGACGGTGCCGGTGGTCACCACAGCCTCGCAGGTGCGGCCAGTTAGGAACTGGCCCAATCTGACCCTGGGCCTGAGCACAGTCCTACCTGAAAGATCTCCCACATCCCCGCTTGCAGATGAGGGACCCAAGGCACGGAGCCATGAGAACTGCCTGGCACCTTGCCCGTGTGGGCAGAGCCGGCATTCAGACCCCCTCTGTGTTTGTGGTCATGCATCGTCTGCGTGTTAGCTTCCTAGGCACCCTGGCCGCCTGCTACCTGGCCCTGGTCATCGTGGCGCAGTACTACCTGAGGCCCCAGGACCTTGCTCGCGAGCCCCGTCCTGCGCTGAGGTGAGTCTGAGGGGATGGCCTTCCCTGGCTTCCTGGGGTGCTGCAGGGGATCCTGCAGGAAGGACACTTCTCCCCACTGTTTGCACAGAGCCCCGCTCCTCTCAGCGAAACGCCTGGTGCCTCTGATGCCTGAGGTCCCAGCGAAGGCCCCTGTCCCCCCCTCCCCCCCAGAATGGACACAGCTGGGCAGTAGGAACCAGGGACAGGCCAAGGAACGCAGCTCTAAGCCCTCCACCCTGGCTCCTGGGCTTTCGCAGCAGTGTCCCCACAGCCTGGAGCCAGTGGAACCGGCCGGCGAGATGCCGATGCCTGGGCAGAGGGAGCAGGAGTGACAGAGGCCAGTGTGACCCCACCGGCCTGAGGCCTGAGCAAGGCCAGGAGGGGGCGGTGTCCTGTGGGGACGGGGAGCCTCACTGAGGAAGGGTTTTGCTGGGCAGCTGCTTCAGGGTGTGAGCACAGCAGGGGCTTGAAATCGGATCTTCGGGTGACAGCCAGCTCTGTAGGCATGTGACCTATGAACTTACCCAGGGCTGCGTGCAGAAGGGCCTTGCACTCGGTTTAATGCCCTGCTGCCACCATCCCAATGTTCTTAATCGTTGTCGAACGAGGGTCCGCCATGTTCATTTTGCACTGGGCCCCAGATTATGTGGCCCCTCCTGGCAGACAGATTGGAAGTGGAGCTTGAGAGAGCGGAGTCCAGGGTGGCTCTGAGCTCTGGCCTGAGCACCGGGAAGGTGGCGGTGCTGTTTCCTAGGACGGAGGAGGCGAGAGGAGCAGGTGGCTGGGGGAGAGGGAGAGGGTGTGAGGTTGGAGTTGGCTTTGAATGCCTAAATGAAGGTACAGGTAGCTTGTCAGACCTGCGTCTGGATTCAGGGAGAGAGAAGCTGGGCTGGAGGGAGGAATGTGGCTGGTGTCAGCCCAGAGATGGCATTTAAGGCCCTGGACTGGGCAGGGTGGTACACTCAGAACCCACAGTGCTCTGTCCGGTACTGAGAGGTCGGGGGAGGAGGAGGAGCTGTGGAGGGGTGGGTGTCGGATGTGTTAGCTTTCTGGAGATGCTGTGACAAATGACCACAAACCTGGTGGCTTCACACAAAAACAGCTTATCCTCTCTCAGTTCTGGAAGCCAGGAGTCCAGAATCAAGGTGGGGCAGGCCAGGCTTCCTCTGGAGGCTCCAGGGGAGAGCCCTGCCCGCCTCGTCCAGCTCCCGGGGCTGCCAGTGGTCCCTGGCTGGAAGGTGGATGCCTGGCTCCAGTCTCTGCCTCCGTCGTCACGCGGCCTCTCCCTGGTGTCTGTTCCCTTCCTATAAGGACACCCGTCATTGCACCAGCTCCCAACCTACGCCTGTGTGACCCCATCTTAATTTAACTAATTACATCTACAGAGACCTATTTCCAAATGAGGCATCACTCTGAGGTTCCCAGTGGATGTAAATTTGGGGGGACACTATTCAACCAGGATAGAGGATAATAGTAGGTGGGTCGCAGATGTCGGTGAACAAAATTTCAGGAAGTTGGCATGATCATTGCCAAATGTTGCTCCTGGTTACAATGGGCTGAGCCCTGGGCATGGATTTGGAGGCTGCTGGTGGTGTTACTTGGTCAGGGCAGGAGAGGCAGTGAAAGCCCAGGTGGATTGGGTTCAGGAGAGAAGGGAGGAGGCAGGAAAGAGCTCTTCTGAGGAGGGGAGCAGAGAAATGCCCAGCCCTATTTATGCTGACGGACATCTCTTAGAGAAGGAAGAACCAATGAGGGCAGGCTCACTGCTAATCTGCAGCCTCGAGTCAGGGGGAGGGGAGGTCTTGTGCTCTGGGGTCTCTTTCCCGGGGCTAGGGGGCCTGCACATGTGGACCCAGGGGATGCAGGCGGGCAGATGGGGCCGTGCCTACATGGGCACTCTGGTGGTTACAGGAAGCCTGGCACCAGGGACAGGGCAGTTGAGGAAAGTGTGGGAAGCCCAGCCCGGTGGGGCGGCGCCATGAGCGGCTTTTAGAGTTAAGTCAGCCGTGTGCAGCACGAGCAGGAGTCAGCACTGCGCACGTGTCCCGTGGCTGCTGTGACAAACTACCACCAACCGGGGGCTTACACAGCACAGATTTACTCTCTCTCATCTCTGGAGGCCAGAAGTCCAAAATGGGCCTCGAGGGGCTACAGTCAAGGTGTTGGCAGGGTTGTGTTCCTCTTGGAGGCTCTGGGCAAGAATCTGTTTCCTGGCCTTTCCCAGCTTCTAGGGGACACTTGCTCTCCGTGGCTTATGGCCCTGCCTCCATCTGTAAAGCCAGCAGCATTCCTTCTCTGACCCTATCTCCGTAGTCACAGCCCCCTCCGCCCACCCCCAGGAAAGGTTCTCATCTCAGGGATTCATGCGACACATTGGGCTTAGATAGCCAGGGTCACCTCCCACCTGAGTCCTTACCCCGATGCACACCTGTCAGCTCACTTATTCCCAGGTTGCTGGGATTCAGACATGGGCCTCTTTGGGGGCCATTATTCTGGCATAACCAGGAAACCCTGATTCTGTAGCAGGTGTTATTTACGCCCCACTTCACTATATGTCCCTAAAGGTGCTGGATGCTGGCATCTAGAGCTGCTTGCCAAAGGAAGCTTGAGGGCCACCGTCCTGAAAATTCTGCCCATGCACACCTCTGTCCTTTTTGGAGCTTGGGCAGAGGTCAAACCATCCCTGCACTGCTGGGGTCTGTTTGATGGAGGTCAAACCATCCCTGCACTGCTGGGGTCTGTTTGATGGAGGTCAAACCATCCCTGCACTGCTGGGGTCTGTTTGAATGGAGGTCAAACCATCCCTGCACTGCTGGGGTCTGTTTCATGGAGGTCAAACCATCCCTGCACTGCTGGGGTCTGTTTCATGGAGGTCAAACCATCCCTGCACTGCTGGGGTCTGTTTCATGGAGGCTGCCTGAGCTCCCCAGCCCTAACCTCACAGGAACAGGCAGCCTCAGAGGGAGGCTGGGAGTTCCTGCTCGTCGTGCCCTTTCCAAGCTCTGCCAGCCCAGAGAACGTCAAGTTACCAAAATGCCAGCTCAAATGTAATTAGAGAGTGCAACACAGAGCATGGCTCCCTTCCCATCTCCCAAACCCGGGAGTGGACGCAACAATTAAAAATACATTTTACAGCCGTGCTCAGTGACACCTTTCTGGTCTTTAAAACTCATCTTCAAGTTGAGTGTGGCTGTGAAGTTAGCCTTTTGTGATGAACACCTGTTCTTGTCTGTTTGCAGCCCTTCCTCCTGGACCTCTGTGTTTAGTGTCTTCCCCACCATCTGCTTCGGATTTCAGGTAAGCTCTGCTCCGTGTTGGCGAGCGTGGCGTTGGCGGGCTGTGGCGACTCCCTGCTCCCGTGGGAGACTGTGGCCTCCCTGGCAGGAGAGAGGGGTGAAGGCCTGTTCCAGGATGTGATGGGCTGTCTTCCGGAGACGGCGCGTGTGTTAGAATCTGGGTTCAGTGAGGTGTGACTTGCTGTTGAACTGGGGAACCCGGCCCCCACTGGCAGCCAGCAGCAGCAGCAGCAGAGTGGGAATTCAGCACCTGTCCCTCTGTCTGTAAAACCCTCGCTGGACAGTTGCCATGCCAGGACACCCAGAGTTGTCCATGTCCTCAGCAGATCTCTGTCCCAGGGGCCTCGGAGAGGAAGCATCCTGCCTCTGGAGGCGGGGGCTGGAAGGTGTGCAGGGGCTGCGTGGTGGGGGTACGGGGCAGAGTGTCTGACAGTCATGGACTGAGGGTGGGCTCTGTGCAGTCCAGCTGAGGGGCTTCTGACAGCCCTGGGCGGGGCAGAGTCAGACACCCTTTTTCAGGCACTGATGTCTGAAAGGATCTTGAAGAATGTGTAGGGGGTGCCAGGTGAAGGGGAGGGCGGTCCAGCTAGAAGGGACGGCACAGGTGAGGGGAGGAGGGGAGAGGAGGTAGAGGAAAGGGAGGGAGCATGCCTGGTGGGCTGCAGGGCTGTAAAGGGCTCTGCTAGCTGGGGTCCCCGGGGTGCCAGAGGGTATAGCAGAGAGCATGGGCTCTGCTCCCCGCCTTCCGGGTTTTCCAGGCTCCTAGCAGGTGGCAGCTGACTCCATTCTTCCATTGTTTATTTGAGGAAAGATGTGCCTCTCTCCTAAAAACCTACCCAGCACACCAATAGCAGAACCACCCCAGAGCAAAGTCGAGTTGGTGGGGTGGGGGTGGGGGGGTGTGGTTCAGGAGCGACAGTATCTCAGCTTCCTGCCCTGAGTTTTTTCTTCCCTTAGCCGCCAACTGGCGCCTGTTTCTGTTCTTCATCTTGTATTTTCTTTGAGAAACAGTTTGGAAAAAAATCTTGAAACATTTCCATTTCTCTTGCTTATAAATGAGTTGATGGTATCACTTCTGGGGCTTAGCAAGCCATTTATAAGAATTCTCACATTTTTCCTTGCACACCCAATATTTTGAAAGATCTAGAGCAGCGATTTTGCTGTCAGCTGTTCGTCTGGATGTGGTTTAGCGCCCCTCTCGCCAGTGTCTGAGCACCATATGGCGCGGCGGGCTCCACTGCGGGCTGCTTTTCAGATGCTTCCCGGGGTGGCCCCCTCACCTTTGCCTCAGCTCCCTCATTCCATTCTCCTAGCAACCGAGGCCTGGCTGAGGTTTCCAGGGACACAGATGCAGGATGGAGATTTGGGAAAAGATGTGAATTGCCGGGTGGGGGTGGGGCTGAGGCCGGAGGCCAGAGGCAGGGCTGTCGGGGTCTGTCTGGGAGAGTCTGTGTGGAGGAGGGCAGGAAACAGGGAGGGAGGGGGCAAGGCTGGAGGGCCGTGCGAGGAGGGGAGGTCTCCTTGTCGTCAGGAGCTCTGACCTGGTTCAAACACCACCCCTGCATGCAGCAGCCCCACCACCAGCTGCGCGGAGCTGGTAGGAGGGGCCTGCGGAGCAGAGTGGGTGCGGGCTCTGCTGTTGCCATCCCGGCCGCACCTGGGACTTCTCTGTTGTTGTTTTTTAAACAACAGCTTTATTGAGATAGAACTCACATAGCATGCATGTCACCCACCTGAAGTGTAAGATCCAGGGGTGTGGTATGTTCACAGAGCTGTGCGACCATCACCACAGTCGATTTTCGACCATTTCATCTCCCCCAGAACCCTGAACCTGTTACCGGTCACCCCACCCCCCTCAGTCCTCCCTCAGCCCCTGCAACCAGGAGTCTCCTTGCTGTGTCTGCCTGCTCTGGACGGTTCACATAAATGGAATCCCACGATGCCGGTCCTTTGTGACAGCTCACAGCATCGTGCCCTTGAGCTCATCCACCTGGTGGGTGTGTCAGTGTTCTGTTCCTTTTTATGGCTGAGTCATATTCCCCCGTTTGCTTATCCATTCCTCAGCCATGCACACCAGGCAGTTTCCAGTCCTTAGCCAGCGTGGGCGCCTCTGCCTGCATCCCGGCTCAGCGAGTAGCGAGCCTGTGCACAGCCAGCCCCTCCCACAGTTGTTCCAGCAGGGCATCCCACCCCCCCCCCCAATCCCGGGGGACCTGTTGCACCTTCCCTATGAAACCAAACGTGACCCAGGAATCTTAGGACAAACAGAGAAAGAAGGGCAGGGCTCCCCCAGACACCTCCAAGCATTCCCCATTTCTGAGTTTGGGAGACAGGGGGGGGAGCACTGACCCACGGAGTCCCTGCCCCTCGGTTGAGGGTCCCCAGGGATTGAGGGCGCCTGTGAGGTCAGAGAAGTCCCGGGAAAGAAAGCCAAAGAGGCACTGGTGCCCGCGGCTAGTCTGCCCTCGAAGGTACATGTGAGCTCCCTGGGGACCGCGGTGGGCTAGTTTCCGTGGCACCCAGACTGCACTGAGTCAGACTGGTAAGACCTGAGTCCCGGAGAGCGCGGGCTGGGTAGGGGCAGCCTCCCTGTTGCGGGTGGGTTACTTAAAGGGATGGGTAAACGAGTAACCCCTGGAGCATTCCCCAGCGGTGGGCCAGGCTCCCCGCTTGGCTGGAGCAAGACAGACGTGGTCCTTGATGTCAGGGAGCTGATGGTAGATGCTGAACAAGCAAACCCAAACTTGCTCGCGTGGGGTGGGGGGGTCGGGGGGAACACATGAGAAAGGAACTTGGCCAGGGTGGGGGGGAGGGTCATGTGGGAACACATGAGAGAGGAACTTGGCTGGGGGGGGGGGGATTTGGGGAACACATGAGAGAGGAACTTGGCTGGGGGGTGGGTTTGGGAACACATGAGTGAGGAACTTGGCTGGGGGGGGGGGATTTTGGGAACACATGAGTGAGGAACTTGGGTGGGGGGTGGGTTTGGGAACACATGAGTGAGGAACTTGGGTGGGGGGTGGGTTTGGGAACACATGAGAGAGGAACTTGGTGGGGGGGGGGGGCGGGGGACACAGGAGTGAGGAACTTGGCCTGCCTGGGAGGCTTTCCTAAGGCATGAGAAGGAGCTGCCAGGCCAGGAGAGAATTCCAGGGAGAGGAAACGGCTTGAGAAAAGGCCCTGTGGCTGTGCAGAAGGACAGGTGGGCCTTGCTCAGTGAGGGAGAGGAGTGGGCCCGGGCCTGGAGAGAGGGCAGGAGTAGATCAGCACATTTGGTTTTGACCAGAAGTGAGCAAGCATGTGACGTGACAGTGGGAACCCTGACCCAGGAGCCTGGGAAGGTCCCAAACCCACAGGGCACATCCAGATACAGTGGTGCCTCTCAGCCCTGCCTGCACGTCAGGGCCTCCTGGCTGCCTGTAAGGCACCACTGCCCAGGACTGCCCCAGGGAAACAGCGTCCCCGGCACAGGTGGGCTCTTGCATGGGCTAGATGTACTTTAAATTTATGACAATCCTATATAATAAAAGGCTAATATGCAAATTGACCAAACGGCTGAACCACCGGTCGCTATGATGCACACTGGCCACCAGGGGGCAGACACTCAATGCAGGAGCTGCCCGCTGGTAATCAGTGTGGGAGCACTGCTCAGCCAGAAGCCAGGTTCACAGCTGGCCAGTGCAGCGGTGGTGGTGAGAGTCTTTCCTGCCTCCGCGGCAGTGCTAAGGATATCCGACTGATGGTTTAGGCCCACTCCCTACATCAGTTGGACATCCCCTGAGGGCTCCTGGACTGTGAGAGGGAGCAGGCCAGGCTGAGGGCCCCCCCCGGCCCCCCCCACCCCCCGCGTGCACGAGTTTCATAATACGAAATATATGAATCATAAGTATGTGTGCTCCCATGCAGCCACTACCCAGTCAGGACAGAGAACACTGTCAGCTCCTATGGAAGGCTCCCTCCTGACATTTTCCACCAAGTGACATCACCCCACCCACACACTGTTCTGCCTGTGTCACCATAAGTGGTGGTTCTCAATGGGGGTGACTGTGCCCCCAGTGGAAGTTTGGCATTGTCTGGAGACATTTTTGGTTGTAACACTGGGGGCAGGTGTTCCTGGCATCTAGTGGGTCGAGGTCAGGGATGTTGCTCAATATCCTATGATGCCCTGGATGGCCCCTGTTTGGGCTGGTTTGGCTTGTATTTTGAACTTCATGTACAGGAAAATGTTCTTTCATGTCTGGCTTCCTTTGCAGAAACATTAAAGCTGTGAGGTTCTTTCTTGTTGAGGTGCATAGTGTGTACATCCTTTTTCATTGCCATGTAATATTCCACCAAATGACTATCTAGTGGTTTACTTAAGCCTTTTACTGCTGGTGGACGTTCGGTGGTTTCCTGTATTTTGGGACACTTTTGAGATTGTTCTGGGTGAGTCTAAATGCCTAGCCACTGACTGCGCCTGCCTGTCTTCTAGTGTCACGAAGCTGCTGTCTCCATCTACTGCAGCATGCGCAACCAGAGCCTGTACCACTGGGCCCTGGTCTCCGTGCTGTCCTTGCTGGCCTGCTGCCTTGTCTACTCACTGACAGGTAAGGCCCTGCCTGGGGCACCTGGGTAGGGATTGGCAGGAGAAATGGCAATCATGATGAGTATGTATAGAGAGCTTACAGTGTGCAAAGCACAGCGCTATGCAGTTCGGGTGCCTTCTCTCATTTAATCCTTAACACCCCCTAGGAAAGGCCCCATTTCATAGATGAGCAAACTGAGGCTCAGAAGGTCCAGGGCCTGCAGGGTCATGGGTTGGCCAAGGTCTCCAAACTCACCTGGCAAAGCTGTGACCCTAACCCTGGCCCAGCTGTCTCACAGCCCCTCCCTGCTCTGTGTTCCCACTTGCTGCTGCCTGATGGGATAGTGATAACAATGGTCATCATCGCATTACATCTGGGTAGCCGTTTGCAAAATGTTCTCATGGATTCGATGGATGCGGGCGCTCACAAACCTGTGCTGTATGTACGCAGAGGGTCTTCAAAGGTGATGGCAGTGGCTCAGAGAGGGGCTGTGATCTGCCCAGGTCACTGCATGCGCACAGCACAGCCCAGGTCTAGGCTCAGGCTGACTTTGAGGCGCCTTCCTCCAGCCCCGAGGCTGGCCCTTTCGTCTGCCTGTGGGGGCCTCTGGCTGGGGAAGCCCTGGGGCTACAGAGAATGTGCCTGGTGCTTTGGACACCATGGTTTCAAAAAACTTTCTGGGCGACCTCTCCCTAAGCGGTGGAGGGCGGGGGGGAAGGGGGTCCCTGTCAGGCTGTGGCCCCTGCGTAGGAGGGCCATGACCTGGTCACTGAGAGTCACATCCAGGTGGCTCAGGTCGAGGGCCAGTAGGATCATGAGACTAAAGTGAGCCATAGCTCTTGGCCAGAGATGGGTGTCTCAGGGCAGGGCAGGTAACTAGGCTGTGAGAGGCAGCATTGGGTTGCAGGCAAGGGGCCTGGTGCGCTGTACCCAGTTCTGTGCTGTCTGTGTGATTCTGGCAATTGTTGACACCTTGGGTCTTGGTCTTCCCCATCAGGAAAATGGGTGCGCTGCCAATGGCTTTCTTTGGGTGCTGTCGGAGTGGGATGACGGGCATGAAAGGCACTGATATCGTCTGCAGAGCGCTGTGTGCCCCTGCAGTGCCCACTCCATGAACAGGCCCTGGTGGGCTATTTGGAAGAAGGGTTCCAATAGCTTTGCCCAGTGGGAGTTTTGAGTCAGAGGAACAGAGTCTCCCGTAGGCTGAGGTCAGGAACACCTTGGGAAATGGCAGAATAGAGAACTCTTCCAGAACCTTCTGTCGGCTCCTAGGAAAAGCCTTACAGGTGGTAGAAGCCGGTGGGTGTGTCAGACAGAGTTGGGAGGGGCGCAGCATTTTCTCATCAGCTCCCTGCCCCACCTCCCTCCCTCCCAGGCGTTTATGGCTTCCTGACCTTCGGGACCGAAGTCTCTGCCGACATCCTGATGTCCTACCCGGGTGACGATGAGGTCATCATCGTGGCCCGAGTCCTCTTCGCCGTCTCCATTGTGACCGTCTACCCCATTGTGCTCTTCCTGGGGAGGTGAGCTGGCTCGGGGTGGGGTGTGCTCAGCGCAGGGCACTGATACTGATCATGGTTTAGCCGTGCCAGGCACTGCTAGCCCGTGTATGGTGGGGCGGCCGCCATCTCTGCTTCATAGAGGAGTAAGCAGGTCAGGTAATGGGGTCACTGGCCCAGCATCAACAGGGAGCGGCGTCAGCACTGGAGCCTGGTCTCCAGCCGGCCCTTGACCACCCACTGCGTGGCCCCTCGCTGCTGGCGCGGTGCCTGGGGAATAACAGCCCCTGGTGGAACCGGAGCCCTGCCAGGTGTGCAGGGCAGGGGGCGGGGCCTCTAGGGCGCCCGAAGGCAGGCAGGTGAGAGGGCTGGAGCCCGGAGCCGTGTGTGCCTGTGCTGGCGTGGCCTCCAGGTCGGTGATGCAGGATTTCTGGAGGAGAAGCTGTTGCCAGGAGTGTGGGCCCAGGGCCCTGGCCAACCCCTCGGGGCTGCTGACCGTCCTGTGGGTCACCGTGACGCTCGCCATGGCCCTGTTCCTGCCGGACCTCAGCGAGATCATCGGCATCATCGGTGGCATCAGTTCCTTCTTCATCTTCATCTTCCCAGGTGAGGTGCTGCTTCCCGGGCCTCCTGCCTGCTTGTTGTCTCCCCCCGCCCCCCCGCCCCATACCCCCTGCTCCTCTCAGCAGGGAGTCCCTGTGTTGGGGATCAAGGGTCGAGGCGGGAGCCCTGTGCAGACACGATGGTTCCCAGCCCTGTTTCCAGGCCAGGTGTGGGCTGGCGGCTTTATAGACCCTCCCTCATTAAATAGCTCTGTGCCCTTGACACTCCTGACCTCCTGACGGGGCTCCGTACTCCCACTGCAGATGGGGCCCGAGGCCTGGGGCCCGGTGGCATGGCGAGTGTGTAGCAGGCCCAAGTCCACCTCCCACGGCTGCCGCTCGCTGCAGGACTTTTATTTCTTAAAAATGTTTTCAATTACATGACATTCATAAGGTTCAAAGGCACCCTTGCAATCTTTGTCCCACCTTATCCCCCGACCTGGAAGACACCATTTCTGACAATTGCTTAGGAAACCTTCCCAATGTTAGTGAAAGTCCTGAGGGTGAACGTGGAGGCCAAGGCCTCCGGGCCATGCTTGCATCACCTTAAAGCCCTTCTGCCCACAAGGAGGAGCCCTGGAGGTGCTGCGGCCTCAGGGCGGAAACCCAGCCCGCGCTGCCCCAGCTCTGGGAAGCGCTTTCAGATGACAGTGCTGTGGTCAGCGCGCCCCCTTGGCCTCCTGGTCCAGCTGCTGCCGCAGTCATGCTCATTTGGGGTCTGAAAGATACATGCGTTGGCCTCGGTGCCCATGACCTGGTGGTGCCATTAGCTCCAGCTATCTCTCGTGCTGGGAAGGACTGGCGGGGACAGGTTTGGGATGGGGACGTGCCATGGAGCTTTAGGCAGAGCTGCCTGGCTTCAAATCCCAGCAGAATTATTAAAAAAAATAAAAAAGAAAGAAAAGAAAAGAAAGAAAAAGCAAAAGGAGAGAAAGGAAGGAAAAGCTGCCAGTTCCTAACTCAGCCCAGGTGTCGACCCGCGTGTGGCCCTGAGCATCTCACAGAGACCCGGGCACGCAGCTGTGCGGCAGTGTCATCTGGGAGACAGAGGCTCAGGGGCCCAGGGTTCGGGGAGATGTTGAGCTGGGACGCACAGCAGGCCTCAGCCACTGCACTGTGCCCCTCGCCCCAAGCAGAGTGAGCCGGGGGCCTCGAGCAACGGTTTAGCTGGCCTCTCAGGTCCCTGCTGGGTGTTGGCTGAGCTCTGAGAGCTCAGGGCTGCTTTAGGTTCCATAATGAAGAGCCGGGGACCCCGTCTCCTTTGCAGGTCTGTGCCTCATCTGTGCCATCGGCACCGAGCCCATAGGACCACGAGCCAAGTAAGTGTCTCCCCGTGAGGTGCAACGGGGGCATTGGAAGGGCCTGAGTGAGGAGCATGTGAGTGCTGCAGGGAGACCCATCGTCTTGCAGATGAGAAAACTGTTAGCCATGGGGGTGGCGGGCCGTGTGCACACAGGCAGAGGGAGTCTGAGCCAGGACTCGAACCCAGGCCAGCAGCACGTGGCCTGTTATCTTTCCCTTCGGCTCTGAGGGTTGTGGTGTGTGGCTGGAGCTTCATGTGGACTCGGGGTCTTCCTGACAGAGACCCTAGGTCACATTCACAGGTTCCAGGTAGATGTGAATTTGGGGACCACCATTCAGCCCAGTGCAGACGCTCACAAGTCAGAGCAGCCATGGCCTTGGGTCCCACCTGCAGGCCGGGCTCTGTCTCCCCCTCCCCAAGCTTGGCTCCCAAAGTCTCGGCTCGGCTTATCTCCTTCTGAGTGGAGAAGGGTTTTTCTGGATGTGCCTACCCCTGCCTGGGCTTAGGGCTGGCCGATGGTCTGTGGCCCCTGCACAGCCCTTCCCTGTAGCGCCCTTTGAAGTCCTGCTGCTTTTGTTTTGTGCCTCGGTCCCAGCTCACAATAGTTTAGTGATGGGCTTTCACCATGTTTTTAATTCTGGAACTGCTTTAGGGCCTTCCCACCCATCAGAGCTGCTCTGAGAGCGCTGCCCCCCCCTGCCCCCGTCACCATCACCTCGCTCTCCCGCTCCGACGGGTGGATGTTTATGGCACCAAATGGCCGTTCTGAGATGCTGCTTGACTAGAGATGGTCTTTCCATGACAACGGGTCCTCATGGCCTTTGTTAATGGGGCCAGAAATATCTTTGGCGGCCCTGCCATTGTGTGGAGATCTTATCATCACTGTTCTCATCTCACTGTTGCGCCGTCTCTTTTGGTTACATTATGAAGCTCGAGATGTGGCCTTGGTGGCAGCCGGTTCTAGCCACCTCTGCCTCCTGCATGCTCATCCCCTCGCCACTGTTCCGATCCTGTGTGACAGGGCTTTCTTCGTCTCCCTTATTTTGGGGGGCTTCGCCCCTCCCACCCCAAAAGGAACAGGGGCGGACAGGGAGTTTGAGACTAGTGCCTCCCTCCTCCCATTTCTTGGGCTTTGATAACAAGTTGAACAGGATTGAGGTTATGAGATGGCAGGTGGCGGTTTTTTAATTGCCTTGGGTTCTTTCTTTCCTCTTGTTTCAGAAACCCATCCCTACAGGTAGGGGAGGGATGACTGTTTCCCCAAATCGATGACTCTACTGGGCTTCAAATAATGTTTCTCTGTGTGCGTGGCTTGTCTGCGCCAAATTCCCGACGTGCATGCTGACGTGGCTTTGTTGACTTGGCAGGTGCTGCTTGGAGATCTGGGGAGTAGTGTCTGTGCTCATCGGCACCTTCATCTTTGGGCAGAGCACGGTGGCAGCCCTCTCGGAGCTCCTATGAGGGGCAGCCACCCTGGCAGGCGGGGGGCTTCCCTGGGCCACCCTGGTCCCCGCATGAGACCGATGTAACCCCATCATAAAGATGCTGGAGAAACTGGTACCTCTGCCTTCTCAGGTGCTCATTGGGGCTTCTGCTTGTCCGAGGGTCTCTGGTGCGATGGTGAGGGGGGTGCTTGTCTCCAGGGGCTGCCCTAACAAGTGACCACAGGCTGGTGGCTTGAATCAGCAGGCATTTATTCTCTCCTAGTCCAGAGGTCAAGGTGTGGGCAGGGCCAAGCTCCCTCTGAAGGCTCCAGGGGGGCATCCTTCCTGCCTCTTCCAGCTCCGGGGGTTGCCGGCAGTCCTTGGCTTGTAGACGCATCTCTCTCTCTGCTTTCCTCTCTGCATGGCCTTCTTCCCTCTGTGTCTGTGTCTAAATTTCCCTCCTCTTATAAGGATGCTGTCATGGGATTAGGGCCACCCTAATTCATCTGAAGTTACTTAATTATGGTCTGCAAAGATTCTGTTTCCAAATAAGGTCACATTCACAGGTTCCAGGGATAGGACTTAATATTTCTGGGGTACACAATTCAATTCAGGTGGCTGAGGCCCAGACAGCCCTGCTTTGGGGCACCAGGATCAAAGACATGGGGTGAGGGTAGCACACAAAGAGCCCCAAAAGGGATTTCCAGTGGCATCCACTGGACGTGGAGGTGGACTCAGGCTGATCCTCGGCCAGGGCACAGGGAATGTGGGAGATGCCCAAGGCGGTGAATGCCCAGAACTGGCCACACAACCTTGCACCTGGCCCACGCTCCAGTGGGGTATCCTGAGGAGAGCCCCCTTTCCTCCACTGGCTGGACCTGAAGGGCCTACAGGCCAAGCGGACTGTTTGCTCCATAGTTCCCTTCCGACCCCAGACCAGCTCTGCAGGGAGGAGTCACACCTGGGGCTGAAGATGGGGCCCCAGGGCCTGCCCTGGGCCAGGGACGGGGAGGAGATGGGGGGGGTTCCAGTGGCTCCCCCAGGCGCTGACCCTGCACAGGCCCAGCATGTTGCTGGGCTCAGGCCACTCCTCGCCCTCGGACGTCCGACAGAAGCCGGCAGTGCGGGGCTGACGGCCCAGGACACCACCGCAGGGTAGGTTCTCTGTGTCGTGCAATGTGCATGTGACCATGAGAGGGTGGTGGTGACAGAACCGTTTTTCATGTTTTTCCAGCTTGTCCACCTGCATTAATTTTTTTGAGATATAATTCACATACCAAAATATTCACCCTTTTGAAGTGTAGAATTAAGTGGGTGTTAATTGATGCAGAGTCGTGTAGCCATCACTGATGTCTAATTCCAACCCATCACCCCTAAGAAACCCTGCACCATCTGCAGCCACCTCCCCCCCCCAAGTCCCCGGTAACCACAAATCTGCTCTCTGTCCCCACGGATTTCTGTCTGGCCGCCTCATGCAATGGACTTGTGCACTATATGGCCTTTGTGTTTGGCTTCTTTGACTTAGCATAACGTTTTTGAACCTGTCCATTTCACAGGTGAGGCAACTGAGGCTTGGAACAGTCAGGGCTGCCTGTCCTGAAGGTACAGAGTTAGAGTCGGGACCAGTTTGGGGTTAAATTCCCTCATCCGTTTCCTTTCCACTTCACACTCCTCCTCGAGGGGCCAAAGGGGTGGGGACTGCTGTGCCTGACCCCATCGGCAGGGGTGGACCCTCTGCCCTCCTCCACTCTGGCTGCTGGTGGAGACTCTGACGCAGGGAGGGGGACACAGGACCCTGTGCCCATCCCCCCTCGCCCCGCCACAGCCTGTGTTCATTGGCCACGGTGTCCTCCTGGACAAGGACATGTGTCAGGGCAGAACTGCTTAAAGGAGCAGTTCTTCTCCCAGTGCTGGCAGTGAGAATAGATAGTCGCTTACTGGTTGTACCCTGCGTGCTTCCTAAAAGTGCCTCGTTGCTGGCCACATGGCTGGGGCTGTGCTGGGGCCACTCACAGAGTCACAGAGAACAAAGCAGGATGGGGTAAGGGCTGTGCCAGTGTATGAACTGGCTTTGGAGTTAGACTACTACGTTTTAAACATTTGTTATCTCAAGATTTGGGAGTTTACAAACCTAAGAATCAGTTTCTCCACCAGCAAAATGGAACAGGCTTATTGTATATGATGCACTGTGGGCTTACTGTGAGGATTAACCCTTTGTGGTCCAATTTTATTTTTGGAATTCAAACAGTCTGGTCCAAATTAATTGACGGGATTGAATATTGAACCGGTTTGCGGTGTCGAACTCCGCCTTGACGTTGGACCTGCTCCTAGCGCCTGGTCTGTCAAATCAGCCTCCACGTTGGACCGAAAAGGATTAAAGGTGATTCTGTATCTACAACAGCTAACAGGGAAGCCAAACAATAGTTTTATTTCCAGAAAAACCTACGTTGATATTGGCAAATAAACACTGAGCTTCCTGGCAGCCAAGGGAAAAGGGGAAACATGACACTAAGTTCACCCAGAAGCAGGAAAGCACATCAGGAAGGAAGTGGCCTGACATTAAATGCTACAAAGAGATGAGGTGATGCTGTTTAAGGGGCGACAAACATCACTACTGGGGACAATCGTTTCTCCTTCTGTGACAGGTGCAGATGTGACCCTCAGAGGATTAAGCCTCAAATCAACCATCATAATGCAAAGAAACGCACACTGGGATGTCACCTCTGATGTCGGACCCAGGAAAGGAAGGTACATGCTCTCCTGTGGACTGTCCTGCTCCAATACGAAGTGGTGCCCTCAAGTTTCCAACAGCCGCCAGGTGAAGGAAGGGCTGAAGGGGGCATCCTTGGGCTTCATGCATGGGCTCTGAGCCTAAGGGGCTGAGCTGCCTGCCTGCCCGCCCCTTTCCAGGCCTGTCCCCCTTCTTAGCTGGGCATCCTCCCGCAGTCCCCGGTGAGCAGCCCCCCTTCCCTTCTTCCTTCCGGAACCTCGGTTGAGGTCCTCTTCATTCTCCTCTGACACCTGCCTGGGATGGCCATGAGGGGAGCTGGGATTTGCCTGCAAAGCCCATGGCACAGAGTCTGGCCTGTCACAAGTTCCTGGTCAGTGGTCACAGCTGTGCTTGAGTGGAGAGACCTCCATGTCTCAAAACGAATGTGAACGTGGCCGAGGGGCGTTTTGTAGTCTAGGTGACTAGTTCTCTCGGAACGGCATGGGCTGCAGGGGCTCTGAGGCTCCTGGGAAGCACCCTCCCCCTGGCCCAGGTGCCACAGGTAACTGTGCAGGGATGCAGCCTGGGGTCCTGCTGGCCCCGAACGCCCGGACTGCCCACCTCCCACTCAGGATTGCCCCGTGCCCCCCGAGGAAGGTCAGGGGTTTGACCTGGACGTGGGGAAGGGTGCGGAGCGGCCACTGGATGCAGGTGGTAAACTTCTCTGTTTGGGCAGGTGAGTTGATTGGGATTTTTTCTGTTGAGATGAGATTCGTGTAACACAGAATTAACCACTTTAGTGTACCATGCAGTGGCATTTAGTACATTCACAATGTTGTGTAACCACCACCTGTGTCCAGTTCCAAACATTTGCACCATCCCAAAGCCACGTGCCCATTAGCAGTCACGCCTGCTTCCTCTTCCCCCAGCCCCTGCAACTGAGCGTCTGCTTCTATTGGTTTAAGTCTTCTAGACATTTTGTATGAACAGGGTCATACATCTGTGGTCATTGTGTCCGGTTCCTTTCACTTAGAATAATGTTTCCAAGGCTCATCTGTGTTGCAGCGTGTCAGAGCTTCCTTCCTCTTCGTGGCTGAGTAACATTCCATTGTGCGGATCGAGCACGTTCCGTTTCTCCTTCTGCAGTTGTAGGCATGCAGGTTGCTTCCACCTTTTGGTTGTTGGGAGCAGTGCTGCCAGGAACATTCATGCACATTTGCTTTAATGCGTCTTTTCAATTCCCTTGGGTACCGTCCATACAGACATACGCAGGAGTGGACCTGCTGGGTCATATGGTAATTGTCTTCGTTTGAGGAGCTGATTGGGATTTTAATGTTCTCATCTGGAGCTGCTTCTCCCCACATATCTGTGTTGTGTGGTGCAGGGTGAGGGTATATGGTTGGGGACAGACAGCTCTGGGTTTGGATATAAATGACCCACCTGCTGTGTGACCTCTGTGAGTGACTTGCCCTCTCTGTCTCCATTTCCTCACCTGCGGATCATAGGATGGCGTAGGCAGCGCTGAGGGAGTCACTGCCTCCCAAGTGCCTCACTCCGTAGTGTAAATTAAGTGGGAGCTCTCATACCTTTTAGGGTTGAAATTTGTTCTCTTCAGAGCCCGTTTCCACCCACTCGGAATCGAGGAGGCTCTAAGTTGCTTGTGGGCTGCAATCAGCAGAGATGCTACAATGTGGGGAGAGCTCGGGCGGGCGTGTGATGTGTGGAAGTGGAGCATGCCCAGCTGGCAGTGTTCCTCAGCTGCACCCCGAAGAGCCTCAGCCCCCTGTGAATAGTACTTTTTAAATAGCTGAGCTGATTGGAACAGTCCCAGCTTCTGGGTGAGGCGGGCTGGGGCAGCTGTTATGCCTGCCGATGCCGCCAGCAGGGCCCAGTGCAGTGGCCTTCTCACGAGCCAGGCAGTTCCTTATCGTCATTGGGGTCTTCTCCCCACTTCACAGATGAGGACGAGAGGCTGTGAGGGGCTGGTTGCCAGGAAAGTGGGCTCAGAGATGCACCGCTGGGACCCGAATTTGCGTTTCACTCTTCCCACAAGCCCGTGTTGTGCTTTGTGTTACTGCTATTGAGTGAGCCGTCGGCATCAAACCTTATGAGGAGGTGGCAGGGGCGTCAAGGTTCAGGCAGCCAGAGGAGGCAGTGTGGGCAGGGACCTCGCCCAGTGTGATGGCTTTAATCACAGCACGTTTCACAGGCTGGCTGCTCCAGGCTGGAGCAGGAGGCGGGAAGATGCACATCCGTGGTCCCGCCTCCCCAGGGCTCCCACTGGGCCCAACTCTCCGCTACCAGGTTAAGGCCTGTCTCCTTCCTCCTCCTCCTCCCCAGCCTCGGCTGCTCTTAGTGTCTGTTCCCCACCTACCTGCTCTCCATTCAGCCACCTCTGCGCCCTGAGATTGTGTATGACGTCTTTCCTGATAACCAGGACAGGGAACTAGAAGCAGGGATGTCACAAAGGTTCCAGAATAGGACTTAACTGTTATCTCACGTCCAGGGCCTTGGTCTCCTGTCTTGTTGGAAGAGCTGATGGAGAGGTGTGCCCGATTAACTGTGCCCTGAGGTCTGGCCTTTGTGCCCAGCTCCTGGGAGGTGACCTCTGGGACCTTGTGCCATCAGCACGACCTTCAGGGGGGCTGGACCCAATGAACTCCCATCACCGAGGCTCCATGAGCGTCCCTGGTTGGCAATACTCTGTAAAACGTCACCCGTTAGTGAGGGAGAAAGTCGCTTTCTATACCTGCCACTGGGAGGACCTAAGTGTGGGCTCTGCACCTGGTGTCTCCCGGACCTGTCCCTGGCGCTTCCCTTTGCTGCCAACATCTGTGACCGTGGTCTCATGGCTTCGATGAGTCCTAATGAACGGCTGACACTGGGGATGGTCTGAGGTCCCTGAACTTGGTGCCGGGCACAAACTTATTTGTCAAAATAGGGTTAGTGCCTCTATTTTGCAGATAAGAAAACGGAGGCTCAGGGTGACTTGGTCCAGGTTTCATGGCTAATGAGGGCCCCATGCACCCCAGTGGCTTCACTCCTCCAGCCGTTATCAACTAGAAAATAGGAAGTAGAAACACAACATGTGACGGTTCCCAACGGGAGTTTATTTTGTGCTTATCCCAGCGGCGGCTGTTTGCCTCGTATGGCACTGGCTACGTGGTCTCTACTGCCGTGTGCAGACTTGGCACAGGCCTAGGTTGGGCACTACAGGGTGCTGACTCCTACCAGGTAGAGGAATGTAGACCAGGAGTGGAAGAGATGGAGGGTGAGGGGTGGCCTGCGAGGAATGAGGCCAGAGGAGGCCGGTGCAGTGGGGGATGTGAGAATGCGGGGGGAGGGGGTTCGCCTTCACTTCGAACAGTGGGAAAATACATTCTTGATTGAAAGTATATGGAAAAGACCGCTCATATACCAAAGTTTCTAGAAAAGAGGGGGTGACCTTTATAAGAAGAGAGGGAAGGTGCCAGGCTCGTCCGCAGGGCGCTGGGGAGCAGGTCAGTCTCGGCCCACCGTGCACCAGGCAGCTAGTGAAGGGCAGGAGAGACACGTTAAGCAGGGAAGGTTGTTGGGAACCTGTAGCCCCTTCCCCGTGTCCCATGGGGACTGTAGTGAAGGGCAGGAGAGCAGCACCTGCAAACATATCCCTCCTTCCCCCGGGCCCACTCTGGGTGCTGGACGGGCTAGGCTGTGAATCACAGGCCTGTGGAGGGGATGTCAGTGGGGCTGTGAAGGTGGGTGGGGCCTGCCCTGGCCTGGGGGGGCTCATGCCGGGGCTCTGGGCCCACCTCCCCAGTGACCTCGGCCTCCGGTCTTGGCTGAGGCCCTGTCCTGTGGCCTCTCCCGTTGTTCCAAGGTTGTAGGGCCAACTTGTGTCTCTGCCCTGCCCTCCTCACCTCTCGGACCCTCTGCACACCTGGCACTGATGTTGCACACCCATTTGTGGACTACAATTCCTGGCAGCTAAGGGGGCAGAATAAAGGGTCATTGGAAGATTTGGGCCTTGCCCTTTCTTAACTCAGCCCTCGGTGCCTGGTGGAGGCTGCTGCTCCTGTGGGCACCCCCCCAGTGCCATCCCAGGCCTCCCCCCAGCTGCCCTCTACCTGGCACCGAGATCCTGGAGAGGGCCTCCGGCTGGCTCAGCGTGTCCACCTTGATGTGCCGGAACGCCTTGCACACGGAGCTCTGCAGGTGCCTGTAACCCACGGGGCAATGGTGAGCCCTTGAGGCTGGGGCTGAAGCACCTGATGTGGGCTTAGCCGTGGGGTTTAGCCTCATGTGAAGATAAGAAGGTGAGGCCCCAGGAAGGCAGATCTGTGGGGCCCTAGAGAGTGAGGGGCAGGTTTGGGGCAGAAGAGCCTGTTTCTCACCTCAGTGAGCATCGTTAATGAGTAGCCTTCGTGGGTTTTTATCCCTTGGGGCAGCAGTTTTCAAACAGGAGTGGCTGGCCTCAGATCCCAGGGCCAGGGACCTGCATTCAGGACCTAGCTGAGGGGGTCACACCCCACACTGAGAAGTGCTGCCTCCCACTGGCTCCAGGGCGCACGAAACCCATGAGGCCAGCGTTCTGGGTGGTGGGTGCTGCTGGAACTGGGCTCACCTTACCCTCCCCTCTGCACTGTCTGGGACAAGGAAAGGGGCTGGGGCTGGCGTTAGTGGACCTGCGTGCTTACCTCTTCCACTCCTCCTCTGTCTCCCAGAACTCATAGACCACGAAGGTGAAGCCGTCCGACAGCCTCCCAGCGGCGATGCTGCAAGGGGAGGGGCGAGGTTGGAGGCAGGATTAGCCTGGGCTGCCCTCAAAGAGCCTGGACAAGACACCCCCAGAGCCAGGCTACGGGGTACCCTGAGAGCCTGGCAGAAGCTGAGCACCCAGTCTGTCACCCACCAAGGCTGTGAGCCACAGTGCTGCTGCCTTTCTGACGGGAACAACCCAGAGCCTGCGGGCCAGCCCGTCCCTCCACCAGGGGAAGGCCTGGCCCCAGACAGTGGCCAATTCATGTTGTTGAATGAATTATAACGAAATATCATTTTAAAGGCTGAATATTCACTTTCTCCTGTCATGCTCTCCTTCATTTAATCCTTAACCCCGTGAGTCAGAACTGGCCAACTGCGGCTGGGGTCGGGGTCCTGCAGGCCCAGGTCACTCCCGCATTACCTCTGTGAGGGCAGCAGCCCACTCACCTTGATTTAAATAGGACTGGGGGTGCTTCCCAGAATGTGGCAGAGCTGGGGGCACCGAGGGCTGACCGCCACGATTACATCCGCGCTAGCACCGCCCCTCTGGCCTCCCGCCTGCCCCCAGCTGCTTCTCTTTTCCCACGCTCAGCAGAACAGAACCCCGCAGCCCAGGAGGAGAGCTGCCACGGTGGCGGCTGCTGTATAATTACAGGCAATCCCAGGTTCGCCACCAGGACAGACGCAGGGAGGGAAACAGGGCCGCTAATAGTATCATTAGTTCATTAGGCTCCAGCTAAAATTACAGGTGCCTGCGGGCTTGTAATTTGATGAGAGCACAGGGGGCCGGGGATGCATGCCGCCCACTGATCAGATGTAGCCATGGCCTTTTGCCAGATCCAGAAAGTGCCGCTTACGGGCCTGCCTTTGCGACAGATGAAGGTCATCAGAGCAGCTTGGTGCATCTAAGTCTGTAGCTGCAGCAGAATGAGGCATTGATTGGGTTTTGGGGGTGGGGTGGGGTGTCTCTGGATGGGCAGGAAAACACAGCAGGCTGGCATGGGGTACAGGAAGGACAGAGTGAAGCCCTACTGCGTGCTGCCTGTGTACAGAGGAGGGGCAGCCAGGCACCTCTCCGCTCCACCCCACCCAGCCCTGGGCCCTTTGACCCCTGCTGTGAGCACACCGCTACTGTGGCTTTCGGTGCCACCTGCATGCCCACCGCTCCCAGCCCGCCTCTCCCAGGATCTCCACACTCCTATGCGGCATCTCGAATTTAACGTGACTCCCCCACACCAGCACGCCTGACCTCCCTGACTCCTCTAGGTCATCACACGACACCAACCGCTATCGAGTTTCTGAAGCCAGACAATCTCAGGTTCCGCCTTGTCTCCTCTCCACTGTTCTCCACAACAGCTCCCCACTCTGACCATGTCGCACCAAGGCCGTGCCCCTCCCTGGGTGACCGCAGGGCCTCTCCCTGCCCCTGCTGCACACCAGAGACCAGCCCGTGTCTCACTCCTGCTGGCACATCTCCAATACGGTCCACTGTACTCCAGACGAGCAGCGCGGGAGTGGGTCCTGCCCGCCACCCCTGGCCCTCGCCTGTCACCTTGTCCAGACAGACCTGCTTGTTCTCAAACTCGGCACCCTCGCTGCCTCCCAGGCAGTGGCACCCGTGGTTCCGGCCCACACTGCCCTTCCTCAGACTCTGCTGGCCGAATGCTCCGGACGCAGGCCTCCGTGCACGCGCAGCCTCTCCCCTCCCCAAAGCCCCTTCTTTCTCTCGAGGGACCCTGCTTCCTGGCCTCCACGGCACCATCACCCTTCAGAACCGTCCCTCGTCCTCTGCCCTCTCCCGCCACCTGGACTGCATGTTCAGTAAGCAGCGCCTGATTCACGCTGCGCCCCAGCTGCCCCCAGCGAGAGGGTGAGGCGCGTGCTCAGGGGGCAGAAGGCAAACTGGACAGGGAGGGTCGGGCAGAGAATGGCACAGAGGCCACAGCTACTTCCCGGGCACAGATGGGTGGGCCTGGGACAGGAAAGGGCCAGCGACTTGTGCCAACAGCCCTCTGGGACCATCCCCAGTGAGGGAGAGGGCTGTCGTCTTTTGTGGCCCAATCTGACATGGCCACGGCCACGGCCACCTGGTTCAGCTCTGCCGAGAAGCAATGCCGGCCTCGGCAGCAGGGACCAGAGGGTGAGGCCCTGAGGGGCAGCCACATGGTAAGAGTAGCAGCTGACGTTGCACAGCTCCGACTGCTCACCAGGCACTGACCTAAGCCCTTCCCATTCCTCATTCCATTTACACCTCCAACAACCAAGGGCGTGCGTCCAGTCCGTGCTCCCACGCTACAGATGAGGAAGCTGAGGCCGGGAGATGCAGTCACTCGCCACGTTTGCACAGCGGGGAAGAGCCCCAACTAGGACTTGACCCGCTCTCCTAACCGCCCTGCGGGGCCTTCCCGGGGGTGTGGGAAGGTCCTGCCCTGCCCTCCACCCTGCCCTCAGCTTACTCACTGGAAGCAGCTCCTGGCCCCAGCGGTGCCCCGCAGGTACTGTCGCAGCGAGTCCAGGAACTCGCTGAGCTGCTCAGGACACACGGCCATCTCCTGCCGGACCAGCTGCAGATGCTGTGGGGTGCAGGGTGAGTGAGCTTCCTCGGGCTCCCCGACTGGCCTCTCCCCGCACGACCCCAGCCTCCCACACCTCCCTCCTGAGGACAGGACAACTGGGTCAAAATAAAACAAAACCCCATGCACACACGCCTTCCATTCCTACACATGAACACTGGCTGAAACAGAACAAGAATAATAAAGAGCCAAATGCAGGTAGCAGTCCCACAAATGCTGAAAAACAGGGTGTGAAGAGGCTCTACGGAGGGGCAGGGCTGCCAGCAAGGCTTCCAGGGCTGAGACAACAAATCAGTGACCAGCAACATTCATTTCCAATCACATCAGTGTTTTGGTGTCATTGTCCTGTTGATCATTTGGTTCCAGGCCAATCTTTTTTACCAAAGCCCTGGTATCTCCAAGAACACCCGTGGAAGGGGAGGGTGACCAAGTGCTGGGGCCACATCTCCCCACATGTGCTCCCTGAGGATGGGGTGGCAGGGCTATTGAGCCACCTGTATCCTGAGTCCTGGGTTCAGGCAGGGATGGGGCCACAGGAGGGGGAGGGAGGCCTCAGGGGAGGGGGTCCTCACCATGTTAGTGCCGTCTTCATCTGAGAGGCGCTGCTGCAGGTCAAACCAGAGGGTCTGAAACAACAAAGCATAGAGTGATGCTGGAGACAAAGGCCACCTCCATCAGGGAGGCCTCCAGGACCTCCACAGTCATACCAGAGTACCCAGGGCCACCGCAGAGCTCCAGCCCCTCCACACCAAGGTCCCAGGGGCTCGAGTCCCCAGGCTAGTGGGAGCTCCCAGGGGCCAGGCCTCACCAGACAGGGCTCACCCGCCCCTCCATGCACAGTGCTGGCTCAGAGGGGATCCAGGAAGCCAGGCTGGGAGGCCAACCACAGGAAGTGGTGGAGATCCCTTCTGGCCCTGGCATCTGGGGGCACTGGGAGCCACGGAGACCAAGCAGATCTACTGCAGAAGCCATGGAGACTCCATTTTTCGGGGGGGGGGGGGGTTGGGGGGGTCTTGGTGGGGGGAGAAAGCAATTGGAACTTAAGATTCCCGAATCCAAGATGCTGGAATTTTGCCATAATTGCTGGCAACAGCCCTGAGATTCCCCATCAACTTACAAATCGCCCCCAATCTCAACCCCTGATGCCCCATGAATCGAATGGTCTAAATGGGGTCTGTTTTCACTGGCCTCCCGCAGGCCCTGGGCTAAATGCTTTACAAACACACCTTATTTAACCTCCAGACTCCCTGTCCCACTGTACGCTCCAGGAGAGCAGGAACCCGTGCCTGCTGTTTACGGCCACAAGCTAGGACCCCGAGCAGGGCCAGGACGCTCAACATGCTCAGTGTCACTACTGAGCAGACAGGCCTGGGCTCCAGAGGCCACACAAGCTGGGTAGGTGCTGAGCCTGGATTTGAACTTGGGGCCTCTCTCCTCCTGACACAGAATCCGGGTTCTCCTCCCTTTAACGTGGGCGCCCCAATAAACCCACCTGTGTGCCTATCCCTAGCCACCTTCCCGGAGGACGGCCTGTGTCTCTGGTGCGATCCTACGCCGGTCTTTCCTGTCTCAGAGCACGCGCGCGCCCCTCGCTGGTTTTTAAGGGAACAGACTGGCCGAAGTGTTGGCCTGTGGCTGTGCAGGTACCACCTTGCAACCCTTCATCATTGAACAAGGGGCCCCGCACGCTCATTTTGCACAAGACCCTGCACATCACACCACTGGTCCCGGAGCGGGTGCTGACTTCCCGGGACCCGCGGGGTAACCCTGCCCAGTGGGCAGCCAAGCTGCGTCCGCCGGGGCTCATCTGCTTCCAGGCTTTACAGCCCTGGGAGGGGCTCCTGGAGGGCAGGGTTGTGGCTTTTCCCGGCCGGCAGAGCCACAGGAGGAGGGGAGGGGAGGGTGGGGGGGTTCAGTGGCGCCCACGGCTGCCCCACCCTCTCCCAGACTGTGCGCCCCGCTCCACCCTCCAGGCCCAGGCAGAACCCGGGTGGCTCAGTTGGTCCATAGAGGGCGGGGCCCGGAGGCGGCCCTGGATTGGCCCCTACTCGGGGCCTGGGCCAATCAGAGGCCGGCGAGCAGGGCCCGCCCCGTCTCCAGGACGCCCAGGTGCTCAGCGGTTACCAGCCTGGCCCTGCCTGTTGTTAAGGCGACCAGGGCGCTAAAAATAAACTTCAAAGAGCCTCCCTCTCGGGCGCCTGAGGGGTTGTTATGACAACCGGGCCACCGGGTCCACCGAACCGCTGGCTCCCACCCAGCACCCTGCTCTAGGAGGGGGGATCCCGCCCAGGCCTCAGCCCAGCAGGAAGGATTGCTGCCACCTCCCTCCAACTCCCCGCCTCCCACCTAGACCTCCCTCTGCCCCCACGGATACTTCAGAACCAACCCCCAGACCCATCAAAGTACTTTTTTTTTTTTTTTGCCCTTTTGCAAAAGATGTAAGAAATTCAGAAAAGTCAGAGAAATGTAAAATTGCTGCAACCCAGGGCTCTGAGATCATTGGTTTAGTAGAGAGATGGGTGTGGTGTGCACATCTCTATAGTATAGTTTTTAGCACCAGGACGACTAATCGTAATTGCTAGCATCGCTAATGTTAAGTGCCAGCTTCACGCAGGCTCTGTGCTAAGTCATTAAAGACATCATGATCTTTACTCCCCAGGACAACCCTGTGAGGGGCGCTAGTCTCACGTCCTTCTCTATTGTTAGAGGAGAAACCTGAGTCTCAGAGAGGGTAGGCCACTGGGCCCAGGTCGCAGGGCTGGTAAGTGGTGTGGCCGGGCTTCACACAGGGCAGTCTGACATCTGAGTCCGCAGGGAAACCTGAAGGCAACCTGTTTTCCTTCTTCCAAGAAACGGTCAGTGTTACGGGCTGCACTGCGCCTTCCCCAGATTGAAGGCCCGATCCCCAGCACCTCAGAATGTGACTACATGTGGAGGCAGGGTCACCACAGAGGCCTTTAAGTAAAAGTGGGGTCACAGGGGTGGACCCTAACCCAGGATGGCTGGTGTCCTTATGAGAGGAGGAGACTAGGACATCAAGGAACACAGAGGGGACACCGTGTGTCTTCTGAGGGGAAGACAGCTGTCTGCACGCCAAGGAGAGCGGCCCCAGCAGAAAGCAGCCCTGCCCACGCCCGATCTCAGCCTCGAGCCTCGAGCTGTGAGAGAATAACTGTTAAGCACAGCCTGTGTACGGTACACGATGGTGGCAGCCCGGGAAACAGGTGCAGCGCGTTGTACCTCCTGAGTCATGAGCTGGTCTCTGGACACACGGCTCTGTAGGGCCGAGTCACTTCCTATTATCTGTGGACGTGCCATATCGTCTTGGAAAGCTCGCACGCTGCTGGCCAGACGTTCATCTCTCCTGGGCCGTCACCATCCCTCAGGCCCTTACAGCTCCTCGAAGCTCTGTCCCCTCCACCCACGGTGCTGCTGACTGCTGTCTGCTCCTGCGATGCCCTCCTGTGCCCGCCCACCCTCACCGCTTCTCCTCCCCCCAGGCCCCTCTCCCTGAGCCTGCGCACTGGGCACAGCTCTGGGGTCTGTCCGTATCTCAGTCTGGTGATGCCTTTCCAAGGCTCCCTGACTTCTGTCCCACACTCTCAGCCTAACCCAACCCTCCCTGGGGTCTGGGGAATGGAGGGACGGAGGTGGGGGCCAGCGACCTTACCTTGCTCTCCAGCCGTCCTATTAGCTCTGCCAAACGGCTGATCTGGGCTTCCAGGCCCTCGTCCTTGGGGTCCGAGGTGACTGGGGAAGAGGAAGAGACACCAATGTTGGGCAGGGGCAGGCTGGGGAGGGGGCTCCCAGGACCCCATCCCATGCCCCCGGCGGGCCACCGCCTGCTCTCACCAGAAGGCACGCTCCTCTCTCGTTCTGTGGCCATGAGCTTGTGGCTGGGGCCGCAGGGGGCACTGGGGCTTCCATACCAGGTCTGCACCACGCCGGGGCCGGGCTTGCCGTGGTTCTGGCTGCAGTGCGAGTGGGAGAAACACACGGTAAGGGAGGCCGAAGGGCCCTGACCACTAACATAAGCACCCACCGTGGGCTGAAACGTGCAGCTCGCTCCATGGAGCCGTCCCCGTGAAGTGGGCCTCGTGTCTTTGTTGTAGGAGGAAATGAGTTGGCCAAGACCACGCAGCCCAAGGGACTGAGTCGAGATATGAACTCAGCCCCATTCTAGGCCTCAGCCCAGGCCCTGTTCCCAGGAGGTTCAGTTCCAGGCCCCTGCCCCCACCCAATGGCTCACAGCTCCCACCCCCTGCCTGCTTCACTAGGAGCCAATGTGGTGCCGTGTGTGTGTGTGTGTGTGTGTGTGTGTGTGTGTGTGTGTGTGTGTGTTGGCGGGCAGGGGGAGGGCTGGGTTTGTACTCTCTCTGAAAAGGGGAGCCTTACGACCTGGATGAGAGCAGGCATATGACAGAACAGGGAAATCTGCAATCCTGGCCTCGGCAGGTCCTAGAGAGGGGCCTGCCCGCCTGTCCCCACCCCCACCACGCACACACGTGCCCACACGTGCACAGCCCCGCAGGCCCTGACAGGCACACTCAGCTCATCAAGCTCTGTGCCTGGCACAACAGCAGGGACTCAACCAATGCTTAGCAAAGGTCGAACACCCGTGTGCGAAGAGATGCTGGGAAACTTGCCACAGGCACACAAATACACACTGGCACGTGTGTCCACACACAGCACACGCACACTCCCTGTGCACGGCCTCCACACGCCGTCCGGGCTCTTTGGCCTTGGGCTGCCTTGTGTTGTCAGGTCTTTGTGAACCTGCAAGCTCACAGGCCCCCTGCAGAGGGCAACCTCCCCCGCCATTCCCTCCACCCCCCTCCCTCCCCCGCCCCCTGCAGTCCCAGAAGCCCAGTCTCTGAGGTCCAATCCTGGCGGCTCTACAACCAGCAGCCAATTAAATGTGGCCCTCGGACCCTGACGGAGCAGCGGGAGTCCCTGGGGTAGCGGGGTTTGAACCAACAGCTTGTGCCGGGAACATGACACCCCCGGGGCAGAGAAACAGGGTGGCTCAAGGGGACTTGCGGCCCCGGGGAGCTGAAGTAGCTGAGATTTGGGGCAGCCGGAGGTGGGAGTGTGTGTGGAGCAGATGTGTCTCCCAATGAGACGTGTCACCCCCGCCACCGACATTCCAAAGTGAGGTCCCACTGTGGGGCAGACGAGATGGAGCTAGCGAAGTGCAGGAAACTGGCTACAAAATCGTGCAGCCATCTTCTCTGTTCTACAGCAGGATAGAAACGGCAAGTTCTTAACCAGGATAAGTGACAAAAAACGAAGGAAGCCTCAGTGTGTGGCCAACTTGGGACCCTCAGAATCACAAGAGCGATCACGAACGCAGAGCTCTGGGCTCACGCCCAGGGATCCCCACCCAGTGGGCCCGGCCGGGGCCCCCGGGGCCCTGCATTTCCCATTTCCCAGGGGATCTGGCTGCAGGTGTTCAGAGCAGACACATGTCAGGAACTGTATCATTGAGCAGCTTTGCGAGCACACCTGACTGGGACCAGCCCCCCACCAACCAACTGTAAGACACACTCCAACCCCACACAGCACCCCACACCCTGCCTCTACCGGGAAACCTGCGGCCGCACGGAAACTCAAGGGTCAGTGATGCTTGGACCAGCACCTGGCTCTTGCCCTTGTCTATCTGAATGCCTTTATGTCCCCTTTCTGCCAGGCACATCAGCTGTTCTGCAAAGAGGAGGCAAACAGAAGTCTCAACTCGGGACAGTAAATGCAAGGACTCATGGCCCAGAACTGTCACTGCCCCTTCTCTAGGCTAACCACCTCGTGTCCCCAGCAAAGAGGGGGACCCCAGAAGCTTGTTCATGGCTTCAAGGACATGCGATCGAGGCCTTAAATCACACTGCAGCAACACGTGAGACCATCGCGCCACTTCCCTTTTGATCCTCCTGAGAAAGGGGCTTGGTGCCACCCTGACCCCACGCGTGGACGGGTCCCAGCCTCTGACAAGGCGGGAGCCGGCCTCAGGGTCCCAGCTGACAGCAGGTGCCGCTGTCCAGTGACTCCGTCTATGGCACGTGATGCTTGTTTCCAATTATGGGAACCACATACAGTTTCCAAAATTTACCCCCACTTTTCAACAGTAAGTCAAGCAATAGAATAGTCTTGGGCAAAGAATAACGTGAGTGGTGTGGGGACGTGGTAGAATGGATGAGTCTGGGAAACAGCCGTAACTGTATGTGTTGTATGTATGTACTGCACGCACACCAGGCGTTCTTCAGCATATACGCCATTCGGCCCTCACAGCACTAAGGAGGAGGGTATATAACTGTCCCCATTTTACAGTCGTGGAATGGAGGCCCAGAGAGGTACAGCAGCTTGCCCAAGGTCACCCAGCTCTCAAGTACACGAATAGCCCTACCCCAAGCCACAGGTTGGCACGCGCACGGCATACCCCCGTGCGACCCTGCAAGGGCCCTGGACGCACCGGATCTGGCTGGTCTGTTCTTCAATGGCCTCCACCGCACTCTCCACGGAGCTCAGCAGCGACTGGATCTGACTGGCCGTCTCCTTCAGGAGGAAGCGGGTCACAAACTGGTCCACATTGCTTCCTCCCTCGTACACCTGTGGCGGGGAGAGCAGGGACAGCAAGGGCTAAGGGTGGGGAGGGAACTGGGGTGTGGGGTCTGGCATGAGGTGCAGGGGCACCTGGGGTCTGTGTGTTTGCCTTACAGTGGGGAGGGGGAAGCCCACTCCACTACTGCCTTCTGTATCTTGGAGGCCACAGAGCTCCTGGATCAAGGCAGGGGGTATGGACTCGGAGGCCAAGGTCTGAGCCCTGGCTTCACCGCTTACTCACTCTGTGACCTCCAGAGCCATACCAGCAGTCACTGTAGTAGCTATCTTACAAGGTCATGGTGAGGATTAAATGACAACATGGACTTAAGATGCTCAGCACAGTGCCTCAGCACGTAGCAAGTACTCAATAAACAGCAGCTGCTATTAAAGAAGATGGTGATATGATGGTGGTGGTGACCATAGTGACAGTGGTGATGGTGATGGTTGTGATAATGGTGGTGACAGTGGTGTGATATGATGGTGGTGGTGATGGTGACAGTGGTGAGGGTGATGGTTGTTATGACAATGGTGACAGGGTGGCTGTGGTGCTATGATGGTGGTGGTGATGGTTGTGATGACAATGGTGACAGTGGTGGCTGTGGTGCTATGATGGTGGTGGTGATGGTTGTGATGATAATGGTGGTGATGGTGATGGTAATGGTGATGGTGACAGTGGTGATGGTGATGGTTGTGATAACGGTGGTGGTGACAATGGTGACAGTGGTGGTTGTGGTGCTATGATGGTGGTGGTGATGGTGACAGTGGTGAGGATGATGGTTACAATGGTGACTGGTGCTATGATGGTGGTGGTGATGGTGACAGTGGTGATGGTGATGGTGGTGATAATGGTGGTGGTGATGATGGTGACAGTGGTGGTTGTGGTGATGGTGGTGGTGGTGGTGATGGTGATTAGTGGTGAGGGTGATGGTTGTGATGATAATGGTGGTGATGGTGGTGGTTATGGTGATGATGATGATGGTGAGGGTGATGGTGGTGGTGATGGTGATTAGCGGATTGTTCCTGATGTTGCCACTGACAGAGACAAAGCATTAGGGGAGAAGAACTCACAACCTCCTCTCCCCCTTCCTTCTCCAAGAAGGACTCTGCGGGCTCCTGGGCCTGCACACTGCTAAGCAGAGAAATGATAGATGAGAATCAAAAGGACCCAGAGACCTTAAACTGGCTCCCCAGAGAGGGTGCCCGAGCCCCAGTCTCAGAGGGAGGGCGAGCGGGGAGTCTGAGGAAGGGAGAAGCTGAGGGAGGGAGACAGGCCACAGGAGAGACATCGGGAAAAGGTGGGTGAGGACGGTTTTCTACGAGTTTTGCTCTGAAATGTGAGACAGGATTTCCCCTCCTGCTAAGAGGCTGCAGCAAAGACCTTTCTCAAGCTTTCTGGAACCAGTTGAGTTTCTTTTGCCTCAAAGGCTTTACAGTGGAAGGTTCAGCCGGGTCGCTCAAGGATGATAACAATCAAAGTGGCGCTGTGCTGGGAGACGCTGGTCCCCAAAGCCCGGTGCTCGCTCCCGCCGCCTCCGCAGGCCTGACCTTCCACAGCCACCTGCCCCGGGGAACCCTGGAACTCTGCCTGGCCTCCGCAAGGCAAGGGAGACCAGGAAGCAAATGAAACCATCCATCACTCTGACTTGGAATTAATTAGCAATAATTGCACAACGGGACACATGGCTACAGACAGACGGAGAAATGGAGGCAGGGAGCAGGGGGAGAGTGGGGTGCAGGGAGGCCGAAAGGAGGGGCACACAGGTGGGGAGGCGTGGGGGTGGACATCCTGGACCCGCCACCAGACCCGGCACGCTGGCGAGAGGCCCCAGCAGAGAATGAATTTGTGGCAGAAAGGAGGTGAGCTTCTGGTAGCCCAATGCATTGCAGTGATCGATTATCCTTCCTGGCAGGCAAGTGAACTCACAACCCAGTGATCAATGGGCTCTGGACAAGCGAACAAGAAGATCCGTGGTAGAAAGTGTGAACACAGAGGAAGGCTGCCGGGCGTCATCAAACAGAGAAATGAGTGAAAGCGAGTGGGTTAGAAGCGCCCGACCAGGGACTGAGGGCGTGTCTGGTCAGGGGTTAGCAAGTGTAACTGGGCAGTTCAATTCCAAAGACAAGTTGTTTTCAAAGGAGGAGAAATGCAGCTTTTACAGATTTCGCCTCCACAACTGATGTCTCAGCTGAGAGGCCGCGCCATGTTCCAGAGGAAAAGGATCAGGTGCAGGAACTCTGCACCACACGCACACAGATTCCTCATGCGCACAGTAGCAGGGAGATCACGCAGAAGTCTGCAGGCCGAGGGAACTGGCCGGATGAGCACCTTTTCTGCAAAGAACGCCCAGGAGTTTCTCCCAAAGCATCCAGGCTGAATCAGAGAGAGAATTCAGCAATAGGAACGTTGTGAGGCGATGGTGATCACCCAAGTGAAGCAATAAGTCACAGAAGTCAGGAGGTAAAAACAGTCATCACTCCTCATTAAATTTTAACTACACTGATTAAGTCAACAAAGAGTGTGAACGTTTGGAAAAACAACGGAAAATCTCAAAGATCTCCCTAATTCCCTAAAAGAGAACAGGAAGTATTGCTGTCAGCCAGGTTTAAAAACAGAAGCAGAGTCCTGGCTGGGTGGCTCGGTTGGAGCACTGTCCTGTGCGCCAAAAGGCTGCGGGTTCCATTCCGTGAGGCACACACCTAGCTGGGGGTTCCATTCCGGTGAGGCACACACCTAGCTGGGGGTTCCATTCCGGTGAGGCACACACCTAGCTGGGGGGTTCCATTCCCGGTGAGGCACACACCTAGCTGGGGGTTCCATTCCGGTGAGGCACACACCTAGCTGGGAGGTTCCATTCCCAGTGAGGCACACACCTCGCTGGGGGGTTCCATTCCCGGTGAGGCACACACCTAGCTGGGGGGTTCCATTCCCGGTGAGGCACACACCTAGCTGGGGGGTTCCATTCCCGGTGAGGCACACACCTAGCGGGGGGTTCCATTCCCAGTGAGGCATACACCTAGCTGGGGGGTTCCATTCCCAGTGAGGCACACACCTAGCTGGGGGGTTCCATTCCCGGTGAGGCACACACCTAGCTGGGGGTTCCATTCCCAGTGAGGCACACACCTAGCTGGGGGGTTCCATTCCCGGTCGGGGCCTGTACAGGAGGCTACTGATCAATGTTTCTCTCACATGCATCTCTCTCTCTCACTCTCTCTCTAAAGTTAATAAAAACATATCCTCAGGTGAGGATTAAAATTTTTTTTAAAGAATTACAAATGTGCCAAACCGGTTTGGCTCAATGGATAGAGCGTCGGCCTGCGGACTCAAGGGACCCGGGTTCGATTCCGGTTGGGGGCATGTGCCCTGGTTGCGGGCACATCCCCAGTGGGGGGCGTGCAGGAGGCAGCTGATCGATCTCTCTCATAGATGTTTCTAACTCTCTATCCCTCCCCCTTCTTCTCTGTAAAAAATCAATGAAATATATTAAAAAAAAATAAAAAGAATTACAAATGTTAAAAATGTGTGTTTTAGAAGTCACTAGTGAAATGAAAACTAGAACGTCCGCCTTTGAAATCATAATCAATGCTGGAAACAAAGCGGACCATCGGAGGGTAAAATGTCGGAGGAGGAGGCGTAAAAACGCGGGAGCACAGAGGATGCCGACAGCAGTCAGACCAGAGAGATCATAGTAACAGAGAAGCAGCAAATCCCCCCGTGGGGACTCAGCCCCAGATCTGATGAAAGGAGACGCAGCTGGGGCGCCTGCAAGCCACAGGATCCAGGAGAGAAGTCTGCGCTAAGGCTCTGCAAGCAAATTTGAGAGGAGCAGGGGAAGTTGCAACACCACTGTGCCGGCAGGATGTCAGTGAGAAGTACTCCACGGAAGGGTAGGGACAGAATGACAAAAGCACGACGCATAACAAGGACAGAGCACCAAACCTCTGAGCAGTGGGAGAGGATGTCGCTAAGCGCGGCCATGGGGATTCAGACGGTACCATCACTTCAGAAAGCCTTGTATCAGGAGCCTCACACTGCTCATCACTTTGACCCAGTAATTCTCCATTTTTGATCATCTATCCTTAAGAAATAATGCAAATACTTATGTCCCAATGTTATTCATAATATCAAAAACCTGGAAATCTAAGATGCCCAACAGAAGAGGAATAGTAACTAAATTTAAATAAGAATATTTAAATTGATGCTTCTGAACAGTTTTAAGGAAAAAAGGTTAAAAAAAAGCAGAAAATAAATTTTTATACCCAGAATAATATTAAATATATTGAAGAAATACACATGGAAAAAAGGCTCAAAGGTAATAAACTAAAATGTTAATAATAATTAGGGACAATGGGAATTAGAAGTGACTTGAAATTTTTCTTTATACTTTCCTCTACTTCCTAAAATGTGCCTGAATATGTACCATTTTTATAATTAAAATATTGTACCGAAGTTCTATAGGTATCAAGTAACATGGGCAAAAATATTAAACATATAAAGATAAATGACAAAACACAATATAGTGTGAAAAATTAGCTCATCTTTATCCAATAGGACAGATAAATTAGACAAAAATAAATAGGATGCAAAAGACAGTCAGGGAAAGTGTACAAGTCTTTAAAATGGGCTGAAAAGATTACTGGGCTCCTTGTCTATACACCCCCTGGCTTATCGGTATCTTCCCTTGTGTTGGAGCTACTTTTAAAACTTGAAGACAAAAAAAAAAGTGATGATGATGATGCCTAAGTTCTCCACAGAAATGCATTTCGTCTGCAGAACATTTTGGCCACGCCCCGAGGACACCGGCCGCTCTTACACTCGCTCACAGACTCCTGCAGAACTCCTGGGCGCCCACAGACATGGTGTGTGCTGTCTGGATTTCCCTTTAGGCGAGCTGTGACATCTCACCGGTTCTCACATTAGTGAATGAGTTAAATACGATCCTGGACACGTGTGTATTTTGTATTTGTCCCAGAAACACGATTTCACTTTTTTTGCAAAGTTGTCTTTT